TAACCACTATAGTAATTCAACTTGAGAAATGGAAATAGGTGCGTGTTTAACTACTTTGATAAGAAAACAGAAAACAACACAACATTAATATCTTACTATATTTCAAGCTCACAGCTGGTAATAAAATATTGTATAATAGAAGAGGAAGAGAACGTGGAGTTCATTTATACCTATCTCCTTTTATAGGTTACATAAGTGAGGCTCAGAGAGGTAAAGTAACTTGTCTGATATTATCTATCTAGTTAACAAGGCAAGATTAAAGCCCAGATCTTCTGGTTCTCAGTCCAGATATCCGGACGGCTTTACTGGGAGACAGAACGTTTGCCTGGGGAGATTAATAACTTCACAAAGACTTTATGTAACAGTGTAATGCTAACACATAAAAAGCACATATTACATAAATGGCTAAACACGTCTTATAGGGAGTTGATGAGCTAAATGATATTTAAGAGGCCGCCGAAGTTCAAAAAATACTTATTGAGTGCTACCTGGTTTGCACTCAACCACTAACCTAAAGATAAGCCCGTTCAAACCTAACCAGCAGCACTGAGGAAGAAAGGCATGGTGATCTGCTTCCATGAAGATTGTTGTTACTGTTAGTTACCATCGAGTCGATTCTGACTCATGGCGACCCCATATATGCAGAGTAGAACATCTCCAGAGGGTTTTCAAGGCTGTGACCTTTCAGAAGCAGATTGCCAGGCCTGTCTTCCGAGGAGCCCCTGGGTGGGTTCCAACTGCCAGCCTTTCAGCTAGTAGCTGAGCGCTTAACCTTTTGCACCACTCAGACTCGCCCCTTCCGCTTAAAGATTATCACCAAGAAAACCCTATGGAGCAGTTTTACTCTGAAACACATGGGGTTGCCATGACTCAAAATCAAATCAACTTGATGGCAACAGGTTTTTTTTTTTTTTAAACTATGTGTTAGTCACTATTCCGGACACTTGAGTTTCGTTAGTGACCAAGACAAAAAACCTTGCCTTCTTAGCTTACACTGTAGTGAGGAAAACAAACATGAAACAATGCACACAATGAGGTAAATTATGTGTTAGAAAGTGTAAGTGCTACAATAAAAGTAGAGCAGGGTAAGGGAGATTGGGAGTGCCAATTTGGGTTGAGTGCAGGTTGCAGTGTTAAACAGGGTGATGAGGGTCGGCCTCATTAAGGTGGTATTTGAGCCGACTCCAGAAGGTGAGGGAGCCATGTGAATACTGTGGGGAAAGTGTTTCATGCAGAGTGATCAGCCAACACAAAAGTCCTAAGGAGAGGGCCTGCCTGGCATCTTTGGAGAATGGCATGGGAGAACTGAGAAGAGTAAGAGGTAAAACCTGAACTGCAAACTGCTGTGTGGGTATAGGGGGGATTTTGGCCATTGAATTAACTTATCAATCATTTTCTATTTATACTATAACTAGGTATTATAATAACAATGAAACGAGTGTTCTTAGACTTTAATTGTATTATGAATATCAGAATTAAAATGCCTAACAAAGTGGTTTGAACCTGTCATTTGTTTTGCCAATTCCATCAACTGTGCAGAAATTGCATGTTAACTGTATGCTAATACTTTGAATCACCTGCCTTAGGCCCCTTCACATTGTTTTCCTCACTACAATGTAGCAGAATTGTAAATTTAATTGGTGGGAGGGGAGTGATCCTGCCTGGGCACTGGTATTTTATAAAAGTTCTTAGGGTGATTCTAAAATGCAGCCATGCTAGAGAACCACTACTCTTGGTATATGTGAGTAGACCATCTACTCAGAATGCTAATCCTTGCTGCTCCAGCTCACTTCAGTATTGTCACTACCTGGAACTCCAAGACCACAAATCCCCTCAATAAAAATCCTGGAACCTCTCCCCAACTCCATTGGAGGGGAAAGTGGGACAGGCCAAATTTCTCCTTTACTTCCCTAACCCTGAGTTCCTCACAGCAACAAACAAAGCTGTGTGTGGATGTCTGACTACTGAAGAGTTTTGAGTTGGAGAATGAGAATGTAAGAAGGGAGAGACAAGGAAGCAACATGATCGCCATTAATTGCCTAATAATGATTTTTGAGAAGAAGGATGTTTACTGTTTAATGTCAAATGTTTTGCATTATTGTGACAGAAAACATCCTCTTTCCCCAAATCTTCAGTAGTCTGTTTTATTTATGTGTGGCTGGCACAGTTTAGGATGAATGAATGAATGAATTCAAGTAGGCTGATAGCAAAAAGCAACATACCCCAGCCCATCCTTCCCTACCTCCAATCTTTCTTTTTTAAACTGGGCTTTAGATGAAGGTTTACAGAGCAAATTAGTTTCTCATTATCCAATACACATATTGTCTTGTGACACTGGTTGCCAACCCCACGACATGTCAGCACTCTCCCCTTCTCGACCCTGGGTTCCCCACTGCCAGTTTTCCTGTCCTCTCCTGCCTTCTTGTCCTTGCCCCTGGGTTGGTGTGCCCGTTTAGTCTCATTTTGTTTTATGGGCCTGTCTAATCTTTGGCTGAAGGGTGAACCTCAGGAGTGACTTTAGTACTGAGTTCAAAAGGTGTCCAGAGGCCATACTCTCGGGGTTTCTCGTCTCTGTCAGACTAGTAAGGCTGATCTTCTTTTGTGAGTTAGAATTTTGTTCTACATTTTTCTCCAGTTCCATCCAGAACCCTCTATTGTGATTCCTGTCAGAGCAGTTGGTGGTGGTAGCCAGGCACCATCTAGTTGTGCTGGACTCAGTCTGGCTGAGACTGTGGTACCTGTGATTCATTGGTCCAACCTCCAAGGTTGCTCTCCAGAGGAAATCTCCTTTATCTCATTCTTTTTAGTTACCCTCTCATCTCTACATAATATGATATGATGTGAATTCTTGATATATCAACGTTAGATCTTAGACACTCACTTAGTGCCAAGATAGATAAGTATTTAACTAACTCAAACCACTCCAAACATCACCCTACCCACAATACCTAATATATCACTATTGTTAGCTTTCCACTGCTTGCATTTGTCATTTTAAATAATATACCTGAACTCTTATCTGTTCTTTCAACAGTAAGTAGTATCTCTTTACTTTGGCACATAATGATATTGTACTCCATATCTTTCTGTCATGGGTTGAATTGTGCCCCTCTAAGAAGGTATGTTGGAGTCTTAAACCCCCGCCCACCTGTGAAGGTGGCTTTGGAAATAGGGATGCTGTAAATGTAATTAGTTAAGATGAGGTGACACCGGAATAGGGTGAGTCCTAATCTAAGTGGTGGCCTTCAGAGAAGAGACACTGAGACAGGCACAGAGGGAAGATGGCCATGTGAAGATGGTGGCAGAGGTTGGAGTTACGCTGTCACAGGTCAAGAAACACCTGGGGCTCCTGGACGTTAGAAACAGTAAGGAGGGATCTTTCCCTGGAGCCTTCTGAGAAAGCACTGCACTCACAACACACTGAATTCAGATTTCTGGCCTCCAGAACTGTGAGGGAATGGACTTCTGTTGTTTTGAGTTACCCTGTTTGTGGTCCCAGAGATGCTGAAGATCACACAGCTGGCAGAGTACAGGTATCAACAGAGAAGGTCCTCTTAGTCACTACATATAATTTAATGTGTATAATACTGTAATATGTCAGTAAGAAGAGTTGTTCAGTAAGAATTCTACAACCATGTGATGCTGGAAGCCCAGAAAGTACCATGGACTGGCATGGTCACTAGTATGAGATAAGCCCCCACTCTAAATAATACTGTGGGGCGCACTGAAAGAGGACTGAGGTGCTATCACGCAGGCAGGGGAATGTGAGACTCACAGTTTTGGATTACACACCAACTTAACACTTCCACTAGCGATGTCTGAATGTCTGTTTTCCCACCACCTTACCAACACTGGGTTTTATATTTAAATAAGACCTCACCTAAACTTTCAAAATAAAAATATGAAAACCCTGATATGCCTCATGTGCATTAAGAAAAAAAATCTTCTGTGTGGCCTGGTTTATCAGCAGACATTCTCAAGTGTAAACTATGAGCAATGTAGCAAGTTCACAAGGTTTAAATATAAACCAGGTTAAGCCTAAAATTTGATATGCCCCCCTTTATTATTTGATCCAGAAATATGCAAGAAAACTCAAAGTGGAAGCAAAGGCCATAACATTTTATACAAAATACTTATAAACATTCTTAAAGCTTTAGATATTATTTAGATTGTCTGGATTTGCTTGGCATATGCTTTCAGGAATTTCGTCCTTTAAAAGGATAATGTTATGAATGCTAACAGAAAAGTAACCTCATGCTTTACTTTAGGAAAAAGTATTAAAGTAAAATGAACGCGTCAAACTGTCAATAGTTCAGAGAAGAGAAAAACAGAATTTTTAAGATGGTAAATATGCTTATATTGTATAACCCTGGAGACAGGAAGAGCCCTACTATTTTCGTTCAAGGTCCACAGAATTTAAAACTCCTGTACACGGCAAGTTTGTTCAATGACAACACTGAGCAAAATCTAAGAAAACATTTCTTAAAACTATATTTAAAAGAAGGCCCTGATGGCACAGTGGTTAACAGTTTGGCTGCTAACCAAAAGGTCGGCCTTCCATCAGTCTCTCCTTGGAAACCCTATGGGGCAGTCTACTCTGTCCTATAGGGTCGCTATGAGTCGGAATCGACTCGACGGCAACGGTTTTTTGTCTTTTTGTAATATATTTTAAAAAAAAATTTAAAGATATTTTTATATCTCTTATATTTTAACTGCAAAATACTTGGAGCAGTAGAACAGTATATGCAATCAATCTCTTCTCCTATTTTGTCCCCCTTTAATTTTTGACAAACATCGAATAGGGACACTCACTATTCAGTGCTTCTCGAACTAGCAACTGCATCACCATCATCCGGAAGAACTTAAACAATACGCATACGCGTTCTTGCCATTTCTCCTCCCCTAAACTGACTCGTAGGTCTGGGGCGAGGCTGAGCATTAGGATTTTTCACCAGCGATGCAAGTGATTCCCACAATCTTGCAGTTTGAGAACCACTTACTTTTAAAGAAGCTAACCCCATTCAGTAAGCCGGCTTCCATAATCAGAACCTTTGGGATGCGGCCGGGCACCTGTGCTTTGGCGAGTTTCCCCTGACGACTGTGATGCGGATCAACAGCGCAAAGCACATGGGGGTTCTGGACATCTGCACCCAGGGCAGCGCGAGAAAATGCAGGAAGGTGGGTTCCCAGGGGGTGGGAAGCTCGACTTTTCTGGGGTGTCCTCGGCCGGAGGCCTGCACGGCCGGATTCGGGCGACACCGCGTTGCTCCGGTCGCAGAGGCCGCGCTGTACGCAGGGGTTTTCCCCGCGCCGTCCTGCTAGCCCAGGTTAGCAGCTCCTTCCGTTCTCATCCCTTTGCCCTCTTGCTGCGCATCCGCTGGCCTCGGCCTTGCTAACCTCCTCGCCGCATGCCGGACGCACGCGGAGGGGCCGACGGGGTGCCAGCCGAGGCCCAGGCGCTCGCTCGCCGCCGCCGCCCCCGTCGGGTTGGCCTGCGGACCTCCGCCCCAACCCCGCGCAGCCGCCGCTCTATCAGACCCGGCCCCTCGTCGGGCGCAGCTCCACCAATAGCGGGCCTCGCCCGCCGCCGCCGCACCTGCGAGGAGGAGCCCGCGCACCGCCGCCGTCGTCGCAGCGTCCCCATCCTGCTCCGCCCCCATCGCAGCGCCCCGAGATCACCCGCCGCCGGCTCCTGGCTCCCCGTAGGCGAGGAGCATAAGCCACTTCCTCTGAAGCGGACTCTGGCGCGCCTCAGCCGGGTCGAGTGCTGAGCCGCAGCTTCCGGGCAGCCGCGGCAACGGCGAGGCGCGGGGCGGGGGCGCCCCGCGGACCCCACGACCCGGAGCAAGCGGGCGCCGGGAGCGGACAGTCCCACCAGAGGAGGCGGGGGCGGCGGCGGCTGCGCTCGGGCGTCCAGCGAGCAGCGCTCCATGCCTGTGTGGTGCTGCCGCTGCTCCCTGGCTGGTCATTTCAGGTGACTTTCTCCGTCGGGGAGGGGTGGCCAGGGGAGCCGGTAGGAGATGGAGAGAGGCCGGGGAGGGATGGGTGGAGGCCGGGTCGTGGTGGAGGGCGAGGGCTTGGACAGCGGCGCCCTCCGTCCTCGGCCCCCCGCTCCCGGGGAGCCCCCTATTCGGGAACCCTCTTCTTTTGCCCCCTTTCCTCGCCCTAGACCGCATCGGTCACGGGACTGCGAGACTGGCTAGGCCTGGAGCGAGATGATTACGGCGAACTGAGACTTCAAAGTAGTACAAAGTTTTGGAAAAGGGTTCCACGAAGGGGCCCTCTTATTTGATTTTTATTCTTCTTTAAAAACATCTCCTGATAACATAAGTTACAGGGTTGTAGAAAATAGGGAACTACTTTTTAAGTGCTGTGACTAGTTAAAAATAGATTGAGTTGTTAACCAGATATTGGTCATTGTAATTCATATATGGTGTAGAAGCTTGAAAAATGTGGTGATTTTAGACGCAAATTGAGGAGAAAGCTTTTAGAATTAGTAAGAATGGTACATTTTAAAGGAAAAGTGAGTCTGTTCTAGGTCTGGCACAATTGGCCAAACCTTCTGTCAATTATGAGGAGAAAGTTAAAAGACAGGTTTTAACCTTGGAGTGAAGAAATGTTAACAGGAATTTCACTGTTGAGCTTAGTGAAGATTTTATAGTAAGATATGCTGTTTTATATACACAGATGCTCCAGGATAACTTGTTTTTTGGTAAAATACGAAACTCAGTGTTTAAATTAGGGTTCATAGATAGAATTAAGGTGGTCTGTGAACTTGGATGGAAAGAAAGGTACAACGTTATTTTCTCTAAACTACCTAAAAACTAACATTTCCTTTAATTATGAATATAGGCTACAACTCACAGCAGTATCTGTGAAGTTGTTATCAGTAACTAACCAATTAACCAGTTGCCCCGGAGTTGATTCTGATTCATTGCAACCCCCATGGGTATCAGAGTAGAACTGTGCTCCGTATTTTCAATGGCTGATTTTTCTTCCAACTCAGGCCTTTTTTCCAAGTCACCTCTGGGTGTGCTTGAAGTTCCAAACTTTGCATTAGCAGTGGAGGGCAGAAACAGTTTGCAGCACCTGGGGACTCCTTTGTCATCAGTAGAAATCACTAATATTTTCATACCGCATTACGGTTGTTGCTCATTTATGTATTTATGCTCATTTCTTCAAAATTACAGTAATTATGCATCACTGAGCTTGTTATTTAACGCAGTAGAGAAGTACATGTAAATATGTATTGCAAGTTTATTATAACTATTTAACATGCTTGGTGTCATGTAAATCTTTATTTTACCTATTTAATAAGATTATTCAGCACTGGACAAAGGGACACAGGGAACCCAGGGTGGAAAGGGGGAGGGTGCTGTCGCATTGTGGGGGTTGCAACCAATGTCACAAAACAATATATAAATTTTTGAGTGAGAAATTAACTTGAGCTATAAACTTTCACCTAAAACACATACACACAAAAGATTATTCAGCAAAAGGGTCCAGAGGCTTCACCAAATTGCAAAAGGTATGTAAGGAGCAGAAAAGGTTCAGAACTCTCCAGCTGTAATAAAAAACCAAACCAAACCCACTGCCATCTCAGAGCGACCCGATAGGACAGAGTAGAACTGCCCGTAAGGATTCCAAGGGGCGCCTGGTGGATTTGAACTACCGACCTTTTGGTTAGCAGCCGTAGCTCTTAACCACTGTGTCGCCGGGGTTTCCTCCGGCTGTAATGGAGACAAGTAATTCAGATTTATTTAGCTTCTCAAGTTTTCTTTGAGTCTATGAGTTCTGGATATTTTTTTTTTTTAAATGTTTTATGTAATAAACTGTTGGATTTTAAGCTCTAGGCAAATTTATCCATTGACCCCTTGACAGACAGTGGTTTGAGAGTATCAGATTCACTTTGGAGAGTTTTAGAAAAGAGATTGTCTTACTGAAATCTTGCTAAACTGAAGCCCTCTGGGAAACTCAATGCCTTTCAGACAATATTGTCCAAAAGGATTTTGACACCTTCTTGAAGAATTGAACTCTAAGGGGACAGCTGGAAGCTAATATCCATTCAATTAACCCTAGACTATGAATAGGATATTGTTACCTTTGTGTACAAAAATATGGAGGAGGGGACTGAAACAAAGTTTTTTTTATATTTTGGTCTTGAGAGACAGAAGGAAAACCAGAACCATGTGTTAGCCAGGAGATAAAAATTATGACTAATAAACCATACCTGCATTGTGAAAACAGCTTTGTTGTGTCTAAAATTAAAAATGTATATACATACATATATATGGTTTGTTTGCCAGCTCCATCAGGAAGATGTTTCATATTTACTAATGCTTGCTTTGAGCAATTTCATTAGAAGCACACATTTTAAAAATAAGTTGTGACGTCTACTTTTTGGATCTTGTTTAATGTATGAAAGGATAAGCATTATGAGAAAACTGCCCTCTAACATTCCAAAAGAGAAAATCCCATACTTTCTGGTCTGGAAGATGAAGTGTGTGACTTGACTTCAGAACGTTACTTTTCACATGGTAGTATCAATTTGGTAACAATTTAGAATCCTGGTTCCAAAGACTATATACTAAGGCATTTCATTTGAGTTTAAATGATAATTTAAAGAAATATTGTTATGATTTAAAATCTTTTAGTTATCCAAGTATTATGCCTGTGTTATCCTTTTAAATTTATTTTGAAACTCTGGATTTTAATGTTTCAAAAACGAAAAGCAGGAGTTCCCTAAAATCATTTATAATAGCATTGAAAATAATAACATACTTAGGAAATCATTTACCAAAAGAAATGCAAGATTTGTATGCTACAAAAGGTTGTTGAAAGAAATTAAAGGCCTAAATAAATGGAAAGAAATCCCATGTTCTTGGATCAGTAAACAATATTCTTAAGAGGGTAATGCCCTTAAGTTTCAAATAGTCTTTTAACTTGATGCCTAACAATACTATTTTTCCTGTGTGAAAGTGCTATTCTTTAGTATTTCCTAAACGATAATTTTACATATTTTCCAATTTAATTTGTGCCCCAAATTAAGGAAAAGTAGATTTAATTTTTATTACTCAAAATAAATACTTTTCTTAAGTAGAACAAATATTTATCGAAGTGGATATCCAAAGTGGAATCTGTGATATAGTATGCGTATGCTCTAAAACATTGACAGCAATACTAAATTTATAATTTAGGCTCTATATTTTTTCAAAAGAGTATTTTCTGGTTGTGCAGGCCCTTGTTTCATTGTTACTTTATGTAAAACCAATGAATTAGACTTTTGTTTTTTGCTCGTCTTGATCTGGAGTTCTCTGTGTTGAACCAGTATTAAATTTATCAAACAGCGTGCATGTTTATTATGAATAGTTTGTCACAGATTATACCAATGGCTACTGAAGAATCAAAACAAATCACCTATACTGTGTAGAGAATTTAGACAAGTTAAAACTTTGGCTCTACTTGCTGTACTTGAGTCATGGGACAGACTAGAGTCAGATTGCTTGAGGCTCACCAAAAAAACAAAACAAAACACAAGAACTAATAAACGAATTCAGACATATTGCAGGGTACAAAAAACAAAAATCAATTGTGTTTCTATACACTAGCAATGAACAATTTGAAAATGAAATTAAGAAAACGATTCTGTTTATAATAGCATTGAAAATAATGACATACTTAGGAACACATTTACTAAAAGAAATGCAGAATTTCTATGCTAAAAACTACAAAACATTATTGAAAGAAATTAAAGAAGCCCTAAATAAATGGAAACAAATCCCATGTTCTTGGATCAGAAAATAATATTTTTAAGAGAGTACCACTGGGAAAAAAAAACCAAACCCATCGCCGTCGAGTCGATAACGACTTCCCTCAAATTGATTACAGACTCAGTGCAATCACTATCACAAACCCAGGTGCCTTTTTTGCAGAAATTGACAAGCCAGGCCTAAATTTCCTTGGAAATGTAAGGAACCCAGAATAGCCAAAACAATTTCTTGAAAAGAACAAAGTTGGAGGACTCTTATTTGCCAATATCAAAATTTAATACAAAACTACAGTAATCAAGACAGTGTGGTAGCATAAGAATAAATATATAGGTCAGTGGAATATAATTGAGAATTCAGAAATAAACCCTTGCATTTATGTTCAGTTGATTTTCAACGGAGGTGCCAAAATAATTAAAATAGGAAAGAACAGCCTCTTCAACCAATGGTGCTTCGACAACTGGATATCCACGTACAGAAGAATGAAGTTGGACCCATATACAAAAATTAACTCAAAATGTATCAAAGACCTAAACGTAAGAGCCGAAACTATAAAACTCTTAAAAGAAAACATAGGTGTTAATCTTGTGACCTTGAATTAGGCAGTGGTATCTAAGATATGACATCAAAAGCACAAGCAACAAAAGAAGAAATAAATAGGACTTCAAATTAAATTTGTTCGTGTTTCAAGGACACCATCAGGAAAGTGAAAAGACAATCTGCAGAATGGGAGAGAATACATGTATCTGAAAGGATATTTGTATCCAGAATATAAAAAGGATTTTTTCAGTTCAACAATAAAAAGATAGCTCAGTTAAAGAATGGGCTAAGGGTTTGACTAGACTTTTTCCAGTGAAGCTGTACAGTAAGCACGTGAAAAGAGACTCAAAAATTACTAGTCACTAAAACCATTTGCTGTCGAGTTGATTCCAATTCATGGCAACCCCATGTGTGTCAGAGTAGAACTGTGTTACATAGGGTTTTCAGTGGCTGATTTTTTGGAAGTAAATGGCCAGGCCTGCCTTCCAAAGTGCCTCTGGGCAGACTGGAACCTCCAGCTTTTTGGTTAGCAGCCAAGCCTGTTAACTGTTTGCACCACCCAGGAACCTCCTGGTCAGGACCTAGAGCAAGTTAAATAGAGGGAACCTCAAAAAGAAAATGTTTTGTTTTTTTTTCAAACAGCTTTATTGAATTAAAATTCAATAGTAAGCACTAAAGCTATAGCTATAATAATAAAGATATTTATAAATTATTATATATTATATAAAAAGCAAGTTGCTGTCCTGTCAATTCCATGAGTCCCTGGGTGGTGCATTCAGTTAAGTGCTTGACTGCTAACCAATAGGTTGACAGAACCCACTCAGAGGCACCTTAAAAGAAAGGCCTGGTGGTCTGCTTCTGAAAGGTCACAGCCTTCAAAACCCTGTGGAGAGCAGTTCTACTCTGCACACATGGGGTTGCCATAATGATAAATACCCCAGACTCAGTGCCATCAAGATGATTCCGACTCATAGCAACCCTGAAAGACAAAGTAGAACTGTCCCGTAGGTTTTCCAAGGCTGTAAATCTTTACAGAAGCCGACTGCCACATCTTTCTCCTGCCGAGCAGCTGGTGGGTTCAAACTGCAGACCTTTTGGTTAGCAGCTAAGCACTTAACCACTGTGCCACCAAGACTCCTTAATGATATATAGCTATAATCATAAAAAAGCTGTAACTATAATAAAATTCCATGACTTGCTAGGAAAGAAAATTGCTTGAGACATCTTGACTTGGAATATTAAATGCCTCCTAATAATGAGTTGGAGCCCTGGTGGCACAGTGGTTAAGAGCTCAGGCTGCTAACCAAAACGTCGGCGGTTCAAATCCACTAGTGCTCCCTGGAAACCCTATGGGGCAGTTCTACTCTGTCCTGTAGGATTGCTATGAGTTGGAATCGACTTGACCGCAGTGGGTTTGGTTTTTTGTTTCTTTTTTTTTTAAATAATGAGTCATACAAACATTCAGTTCTTTAAACTTTCAACGAAAGAGTGTCGGAATTTAAGTCAGCACTCTTAGTGTCAAATCTGGTGAGTACCATTCTAATTTGTCCTTAAAGAATGTGAATATCAAGTTTTCATTCCACAGCACTAATTTGTAGACTTAATACACTGATCAAGGCATTTTAGATCATTGGGTTTTACTTATGAAATCAAATGATTGCTCTTGAGTTGATTCTGACCTATGGTGACTCCATGTGTGCAGAGTAGAACTGCTTCATAGGGTTTTGAAGTCTGTGACCATTGGGAAGTAGATCTCCAGGCCTCTCTTCTGAGGTGCCGCAGGGTGGGTTTGAACTGCCACCCTTTTGGCTAGTAGTCAAGTGTTTAACTGTTTACGCCACCCAGGGACTCCTCAAATATGATAGTAACTGCTAAAATGCCTTTATTCACATTTATTTACAGAGGATCATCAGTTTACTTTGAGAGTAGATAGGATATTAGATAATGTTAAAGTAGTTTAGTTTAATATATATACTTTCAAGGTGACAACCCCAAGCAGGTCCTCTTTTTTTCTTTTTTCTTTTTGGTTTGTTTTAATGAGAGATCTTTGTTAAGGTTTAGAGAATGAAACATCTTTGTACTTGCCAGAATCTTAAGAGTGATTATCATTTTTATTAATTTTTTCTCAGGTTATATATGAAAGCAACAGTGTTTGAGGTAGGGATGTCTGGGAGAGATTGAAGACAAGGTCTGCATCTCCTGAAAAAGAATTGTGGCCTTTACAACAACAATAATAATAACACTCGTCAGGCTTGGGTAGCTCAGAAGCATCCAAAGGGAGCTGGGGAATCTTTCCATGGCAGACACTTTGGAGAAATATCTGGGACAGTATAGTAGAGGAGAAATTAGCTATTCCTAGGAGATGTCAGAGAATTGTAAAATTCCCGTTACAATGCTGTGTATTTGGTAGTTAAAGATAGCTTATTTAATAGGGACTTGCCTACAAGGTACTAAAAAGAGATTGGGACCTATTTAGGAATTTTGGCCTTCAAGGTGGTATAGGTTGCCAGGGAGCTAAGCAACTATTTTGAAAGCATGAATCAGGATTTCCTTTGCTCGTTCTGTTGAATATTTTATGGTCTACATAAATTTAAGAGTAAAGCTAGAAAAATCTAATGAAAGAATGATTTTTCTAAAGGTTATATTGACTTGTTTTTATTACATGTTTTTTAAAGGAACTATAGTGACTCTGAAACCGAAGGAGACATTTTTAATTCTTTAGTGCAATATTTTGGTGATAGTTTGGGGCGAAAAGTTAAAGGGATGCCATTAGTTGAGGAAACTTCTTTACTGGAAGATTCATCAGTGACTTTGCCTGTGGTAATAATAGGTAAGTTATTGCATTTAATCACTTAAAATTAGTTATGACCCTTACTGTTTTTAGAAATCTACCATTAGCACAAGTTCCTAGGGATTATACTGAAAAATATTCTTAGGTTGCTTGTTAAAAAAACAAATAACCACATCTTTGGAGAGTATAATTAATTTATTTAACATTAGATTCTGATGTTAGAATGTAACATATTTTTATGAAAAGATTGGTATTAACTATATTATGTTAAAATACTGCATATCAGTGGTAAGTGGTAGGTGTCATGGTAATGATAACCAACATTATTATAGTACTCTCTAGAGCATTTTCTGTACATTGTTGGATTATACTTTATAACCCTACAACACTGTGTTGGTAGGGCAGATACAGATGGGGAAACTGACTCAGAAGTTCAAGTTAGTAAGAATGCAACTGATTGTGCAAGTTAGTAATCAGTGCTCAGTTAGCAGTGAATGTTGTAATACTCTGCAGTAATGTTGATAGTCACGATTAACCATAGCATTACTATTATCATATATCCTTTGTATCACCTCAACAAATAAGCATATGAAATATTAAAGGTTAAGCTATTGATAAACCTAACCATTTCAGAATTATAAAGGTTTTTATGATTTACTTTTATTGCATCCATTTAATTACTTGTCATGTTTATCTTCTACCCATGTTCAAACTCAGGGAAGTCGGACAAGCACATAGTGAAGCCAAGTCAAAGGAGAGCTATATAGGAAATAGGTGTCCTGGTGGCATAGAACTTCCTCAGCTTCTTTGATAGCCTGTTTCAAAGTTAGTGGGAAGAGGAGAAAAGTCCTGTCACCTGACTGGGATATGAGAGAGATTAGGAAGGAAGGAAGCAAAGGGGAGAGCAAGACTGTTCTATACTAGGTTCTCCTCTAGGGGATATGATAGAGATGATAGTTTTTTTGGTAATCCTAATTCAGAATAGATCTCAGGGACCATACCTAGTGTTTCCTTTTTCTGTTTATGTTCAGTGCTGGCTTTCCATCCTGGATGTCTCGGAATAAGTAAAGACACCTTGGCTTCCTGTTCTAGCTGGGCTCTGGGAGTGTTAGAAAATGAAAAACTGTCTTTATCTCTACCTGCCCATCTCACTTTCCCTAAAACAATCTATCCCTGTTTTTGCCTCAGCCTATGAGTAGCTTAACCTAATGTTTATAGGGCCATTGGCAATAGCACCATCAGCCTGAGAACGGAATAAGCTGATTTCTCTAATATATGTATTAGTTTTTATGCTGCAGTAACAAATTACCACAAACCTAGTGTAATCATGTTGTAGCCTCAAATAATCCAATTTCCTGCTTCAAGCTCCTGAAAGTTTCCTGATGTGGGAGATTGGATTATTGGCAGGACGGTGGAGAGCAACACACATTCAAACAAGCGCCGTCGGCTGCCGTCTTTGAATGGGGCTTCTTACCCAAAGCCACTGCACAAGAGGTTTGGTTGCAATGCAGTGCCTACGCTGCCTTGGTTTCCCTCGGCCATAACTGAACCAATTAGAACCAGTTCGAAGCCTTGGTTATTAGTGGGCCAGTCAGGTGGAATAAAGAAGTACCATTTGGAAATGTAGGATATGTTTTTGGGAAAGAGGTCAGCTTAGAGATCTAATTTTGAAAGTCAGTAGCATAGAGAGTCTTGAATTGGTGAGAGTTGAAGCCTTGAGTAGATGAGGCTCCCAAAAGTAAACAGAAGAGGAGATGGCAAAGATCAGAATCTAGTTTTAAGAGATGAAAGAAGGAAGAAGAATTGGTGAGGGGTAAAAGCCATCTAAGAAGTAGGAGAAAAACCAAAGAACAAGAGTATTAAGATGCATGTTGTATTCCTCCCCAGTGTTTTTATTTTTTATTTTGTTTTTTAATAGGAAATGGACCCTCAGGGATATGCCTTTCTTACATGTTATCAGGCTACAGACCATATTTATCATCAGAAGCAATACATCCAAATACAATCTTACATGGTAAATTAGAAGAAGCAAGACATCTTTCCATCGTTGATCAGGTATTCATTACGTGCCAATTCTTTTTATTTTTTTAAGGCTGAAACAAGATTAGTTTTATATTTATATAAACATTGTGTTTCTTAATTGCAAATTGTTTAAATAACTTTCCATTTCCGTTATTTTTATTTTAGATTAATCAATATATTCTAACTAAATTACTTCTATTCATTTTCTTAAATTGATTAGAGCAGAATTTCCAGAATTATTTCTTGATAGATTTTTTTCTGCTGAAAAAAGTTTGGGAAATGCTGCTTTTTATTATTGGAGTGTCACAGTAGACATTAAGATACTGAAATAGTCTTCAAATTTTGCAGTAAAGAAGATCTAGTTAGCTTTGTTAAAACCCAAACTTTTCCCTTACTTAATTTTGTCCCAACAATCTTCTATTAATATCTCAAGGAAATGTTGGGTTAGAGTGATGGCCTTAACATTACCATACTTTTTTTTTTTTTTTTTTGCCGTTACTAAACTCTTATCTGCCTTTTTTTTAAAAAAAATTAATTCAGGATTTAGAATACTTGTGTGAAGGTCTTGAGGGCCGATCATCCAATCCAGTTGCAGTACTTTTTGACACACTACTTCATCCAGATGCTGACTTCGGGTATGATTATCCATCTGTTTTGCATTGGAAATTAGAACAACATCATTATATCCCGCACATAGTTCTTGGTAAAGGTCCTCCTGGTGGGGCTTGGCATGTGAGTATATTTTCTTAACATTTTATTGTATGTTAATTATTAGATGTCATCCTGATAAGAACAACTTGATTCTTAAGCATTATAATACTGTTACATATGTTTACCACATTTTTATCTGAGAAGAATTTTAATGCAGTTCATTTAGTTAAATATGGATTAATTACTAGCAGTAGTTAAGCTAAATTTGATTACTGACTTAGCTTTAGAGTGAGTGTATTTCTATTATTTTATGAGATTACATAGAAAACATTACAGGAATGTTTTGCATAGTGAAAAATTTAAAATTCAGTTATTCAATTTAGAGTTTATAAAATTTCACATAGTATTTCAAATTAATTTCCATTATTTCCCTACATTTTCAAATACTTGAATGAAAAGTATGTACGAGAAAAATGTTTTTAAACTGAAGAACTGATAAATTAAGGATTCATTCAATTGCATTTCATTAGGGGACCAGCAACTAATAATTACTCTTCACCCCTGTGTGGCCAGCAGTTAATACAGTGTCTAGCCTATAGTGAATGCTCATTTGTTGTACAAATAAATGTTAAATTTTTGCTACTTAGAAAAATCTGCAGGCAATAATTGAACTCTGTGTTACTCCATATCCTCCACTTGTATAAGAAAGTTTAAGTATGGATAAGCTTTGATTACTAAAGACACATTTGAGTCAGTGGTAAATCTTGGAGTGTACATAAAGCTTTCTGATCTTTTTTGGCCATTTATTATAGCCACTAGAATAGTGATGTAAATAAATGATATTTGAGCTGTAATCCAGTTGTCAAGCATCACCTTCCTGATGCTCCCAAGCTAATTATTTGTTCCCAGCTCTGCATTCCATGCCTTAGTCTTGCTCTTACAGGGTTTACCTGTAGTACTATTTACCTGCTTATGCAGCCCTCTCCCCTGCCATGCTTCACATATATCCTTGGTCGCTACCCAAGATACAAGCTCCTTAAGTTTTCTGTCCTCTCTCATACTCATCCTCTTATAGTTTTCTCTTTTGTTATCCTAGTTCTCATCACTCTTTTCCCTCCCAAGCATCCTAGTTACACTCTCTTGTATTCCAGTTAGTGGTAAACAGCTCTCCCACATTGTTGCCGATTTTTGCCACATGCTTCTACTCCCTTCTTGAAAGCTTGCTGTTTCCTGAAGATACCTCTCCTGCTGCAGCTCTCCGAAATGGAGCCCATAGCCCCATATCCCAGAAGGTTAGCTAGTGAGGTTGATGTTCTCTTTATTCCCTGTTGCTTTATGTAAAAGCCTCTGTTCTTTTGAACAGGTCTGGCTGTTTTCTAACTCCTCTACCTTTCCAGACTGTCCCCGTCAGTTACTGAATCTGTAACACTTCATGGTCTTCCATTATAACTCATTTTATCATCACCTTAAGTGACCTTAGTCTCTACATGCATGATACAGAACCAACGATTTTAACCTCTTAGTCCGTAATCTCATTTCCAGTGACCTTTTCTTTCATTCTTCATTAGCTTCTAACTCTAGTGGCTCCGTTATAGATCTTATCTCTCACAAATACTTAACTGTGAAAAACTAAATTAAAAAATATCTTACTTTCTGATCACAACATCCTCTGTACCTTATCTTCAAGCACAGAGAGCACTTCAGGCCCCAGTCTACACCTCCTTACCTATCCAGTTTAGGTTCTATAATCCGTAATTGAACCTTCTTCTCTTTAAGACCCAATTGTCCTTCCATCATGTGGCTTTGGCAAAAAAGCAATTCATCTTACTTTTCAATCTATCTTTTCCTATTATTAGGCTGTCAAATGTTACCAGAGAAAAATCATACAACTGTGAAAATTATTCTCCAACCTCAGTTGGGCCCTAAAACACTGTTTGGTAATCCTTTCATATGTCCTTAAGTTCTTTTTTCTCAAATCTCTGTCCTTTTTTTCTACTTTATGCTCAGAAATATTCTTGTTTCTTTACAGAGAAAATGGAATCCATCAGGATTGTAATTTCACACTCAAACCTACAAACTTACCTGCATTCATACTAATTCTTTATTTCTTGTCTTCTGAAATAGTTATCTATACATATGATCTCGATGCCTTTGTCTCCTGCTTCTTAGCTAACTTCCCTCTAGCTTCTATCACTGTTTTGCACTGAAACTGCTCTTTTTGATGGTTCTTAACTTCGCGTTTTGCTCAATTTGATGAAGAGTCTCAATTTATCTTTCCTGACCTTTGTAACATTTTGACAGTGTTGATATCCTTCTTGGATTCTCTGACCCTTCATTCTCGTTGTTTGTTTTCCTGCTTGGTCACTCCTTTTTAATTACCTTTGTAGACTCTTGTTCCTCATATTGTCTCTTTAAAAATGTGCTTTTCTAGACTCTGTCCAAAGCCAAGGTCTTTCTGATAATCTTCATTCTCCCTGGGTTTTCATCTACTTCTGTGACTCATATGAATGCTGATGATTCCCAAATCAAGATCTCTGATCCAGATTTCTCTCTGTTACATATCCAGCTAGATACATTCTCCTGATTATTCTACAGGGGTCCTCAAACTCAGCATGCCTAAACCCAATCATCTTTATTATCGAATTCTGTTTTTAATTTACTTATCATTGCATTTAAGAGCTTGGTTGCTAATCAGAAGGTCCATAGTCCAAATCCACCAGCCGCTCCTTGGAAACCCTATGTGGCAGTTCTACTCTGTCCTGTAGGGCTGCTATGAGTCAGAATTGAGTTGACGGCAACAGGTTTTTTAATCATTGAATGACATGATCATGTAGTTACTCAAGCCAGAAAACTGAGAGTCATCGCTTTCTCTTTCCTCAACTCCCACATCGAACGAATCAACAGGTCTCCATTTTTTCCTCTAAACATATTTGGAATCCGTCTACCCTAATTCTCTCCATCACCATTGTAGCTACCATTGGTAGCTTTTCTTCTGATGATTTTTGTTTTCCATCTTAGTTCTAATCCTGGTGTCAGAGCCAGTCTGGCTCAAGGCAAGGGGCAGTTTGCAGCATTCTCTCCCTGCGGTGATCTTTTGTGTACTTCTCAAATAATGCTTCATAGGACCTAGTGTGTAGTAAATGCTCTGTAAATTTTAGCCAGTAATAATTTTTATTACAATAACAACGTGTTCCATTCCCAGTACTGGGCTGTATAGAAGCAGAGACAAGAAGAGTTTTGAAAAAAGAAGCCACAGATTAAAAGAGTTAGTTCAAAGAGATGATTGTGGCCCTTGGGACAGGTGCCTGGTCTTGGACTTTTCTTGCTTTGTAGTGAGAAAAGCAGAAGTAAGTAGGACAAGGGAGCTTGAAGGACTCACGTTCCTTGAAGGCAGCATTTCCTCAGCAGTGAGTCCATTCTTTGAGGCAAATCACTGCTTATTTCCCTACTCTTCAGAAGAGATGGTGCTATATCCAAGCAACTTACACTTCAGAGTTATAATTGATGAAGGAGAAGCTCTTCTGCTGCCAATTTTTAAAAATCTGATATTATTAAAATAGTAAGACATCTAAAGTATTAGAAATTAATGAACTTGTCTTCCTTTTCTTTAACAAGTGAAAATATTGATTTGTTCTCTAACATAATATTGTACATCTAAATTACGTTGATTGTAGTCCAAAGTTATCCTCATTGTATAGGCATTGTACAATATTGTAAATTTGTTTTATAAGTTTATATGAAAGAAGAAGTGTAGATGGATACTACCAAATGATGAAAGTATATGAAAGTTTACTGGAATAAAGTTTTAGAGGTAATTTATACAACCATTTAGAACTGTTTTGAGCCCTCATCTAGAGTCTTAATTATTGTAAATGAGATGGTTTGGTAAAGAAAATCCATGTTACTGCTTAAATGTGTTTTTTGGTTGTACTTTTTTTATTCTAAAAGAATATGGAAGGCTCCATGTTGACAATCAGCTTTGGAAATTGGATGGAGCTACCTGGACTTAAATTTAAGGATTGGGTGTCTAGCAAACGAAGGTAAAGATCAACCTATATTAATATTCTTTGGTGTACAATGAAAGAGAGACTATGAGTAAATTTTGAAATATTTATGCTGTCATGTTTTAGATGAATAATTTAAATGTACATTTCTTACAAACAAAAATACATCTTTGCAACAGTGATTGTAATGAGGTAGTTACCCTTTAGGGGTGTTCTAGAAACTAAGCACAGGGGTAAGGGATTACCTATAGATTGGGTTCTTGTGACTTCTCTGTTAACCATGGATTTATCTCACTCCCCCATTAAATCTTTGTTTAGTTACTAACTTTCTCGTCTGCCCCCACATCCTTCCCATGCTTTTATCTACTTATTTTTATAGTGGAGATACATATATATCTCTTCATGTATGCCTATCTCCAGTGTGCATATCTAAAATGTTTGACTTTCAGGTAGAAGAAAAACCAAAAGCCTATTGCCGTCGAGTCGATTCCGACTCATAGTGACCCTATAGGACAGAGTAGAACTGTCTCATAGAGTTTCCAAGGAGCACCTGGTGGATTCGAACTGCCAACCTTTTGGTTAGCAGCTGTAGCACTTAACCACTACACCACCAGGGTTTCCTAAGGTAGAAGAGTGTATGATTAATTAAATTTAGAATGATGGAATGAAACTAGAATATGGGTCAATAGGAAGATGTGATTGGCTATTTGAGTATGGAGGTAAATATTTAATAAGAAATATGAAAGTAGGAGTAACAGAAGAAATCTCAACTTGGAAGAATACAAGTTTATTTATTTTGGTGGAGAAAACCTAAGATTTAAAAAGAAAAGTATGAAAAGCCATAACATTTTCAAGGATAGTAAGTATTAAATTAGATAGGGATTACTAATACAGAGAATCTATTCTATTTTGCCTACTCACAAAAACAGTAAAGCAGGAGGTTACTTAATCTTTAAGAAAAGGATGTAACATTTGAATGCTTGACATCATGCTAGACACCATATTAATTCATACAAATCTTAATTTGAGAAGAAGAGCAAATTTAGACCAGCTTGAATAATTGAAATTAAATCTTCCCAAAAAACTTCATTTTTTAAAAAGGAATTATATATGCATTTAAAACTTAAGGTTGCAAAACCAGGCAAGTTGTATAAGTTCTTGATTTTCAAAAGTAAACAAGTGAAATTGCTCAGTACATTCCTCCTTTTGTGACATGGGTAAGAAAGAGAATGCTTCATAATTTCCGTACCAACAGTGTTCATCTTTCTAAATTATGCTTATTGTATATTAAAGTAATACGTGAAAATGAATCTTTTGATAAATATTTGCTTTTAGTTCTGGCCTTTGCATAATGTTAAGAGCAGACTCTTAGGTCACTGTAGAAATTGACAGGGTTTGAACCCCAACCCTCTTAACTTCTCATGTTGTGATCTGGGACAGATAACTGAAACTAGCTATCATTTCCATGACTGTAAAATGAGGATGATAATAGTATTAACTGTTACAGAGGGTTTCTAAATGTTAATTATAATCGTTAAATTTTGAAAAGAAAAAAATTTTATTAACTTTTTCCAGTAACAAGTTACATTGAATTATGTCAAACGATTTGGTAGGTTTTTGCTGCTACTTATCTTTAATTGGGGCACAGTATTTAGGAGCATTAATGCCTGCCATTTTAAAGTACAAGTGGAAAATGAAAGATGTAACAGTGCCATTTCTTCATAAAAATATTATGTTTAGATCTCTTTATGAGTAGGACAACACACAGAAATGTTACATTTACTTAGACTTAAGATCTTTTTGGTCAGCAGAGACTATGATCTGAATTATTTTCTGCCACTAGGAAAATAGAGCAGATTACTAAAAATCTTGTCAGGATGGTATATATAATTTCTAAGAAACATATATATTACAAGTAGATCTATAATATCTCACAGTTATAATCGAAATGATTCAGTAGTCTAATTTTCAGACATCTACATTTTTAATCCCTTCATTTATTTATTCAGTAAAAGTTTATCAAGCTAATTTGAGCAGACACTATGCCAGGTACTGAGGAAACAAAGATATGTTAAATATAGTCTCTGCCCTCATGGGACTTCCTCTATTGATAAAACTCATTCATTAATATTTTTAACTAAAGGGAAAAAAAAGCTTTCTTTGTAAAGTGTTAGAATAATCTGTAGCTAAAACAATCCAGAAGAATTAAAAAGATATAGATGCTTACTACGTGGAGAAAGTAAGAGCCATGGAAACTAAAAGTACTATATGTCATAGAACTTTTTTCCTTTTCCTTTTTAAGGAACCTAAAAGGGGATCGAGTCATGCCAGAGGAAATAGCTCGCTACTATAAACATTATGTAAATGTCATGGGTCTTCAGAAGAATTTCAGAGAGAATACGTACATAACCTCTGTGTCAAGACTCTACAGAGACCAGGATGATAATGATGGTCAAGACAGAGCTATTTCAACAAAGCATTTACAGATAGAGAAGTCAAAATTCGTCAAGAGAAACTGGGAAATCAGGGGTTATCAGCGAACAGCTGATGATTCTCATGTTCCCTTTTGCCTCTTTGCTGAGAATGTAGCTCTGGCAACTGGAACATTGGATTCTCCTGCCCATTTGGAAGTTGAAGGGGAAGATTTCCCTTTTGTGTTTCATTCAATGCCTGAATTTGGAGCTGCTGTAAACAGAGGAAGGTTGCATGGCAAAGTGGATCCAGTGTTAATTGTAGGTTCAGGGCTTACTGCAGCTGATGCAGTACTGTGTGCTTACAACAGTAATATCCCTGTGATCCATGCATTTCGCAGGCGAGTAACTGATCCAAGCTTAATTTTCAAACAGCTTCCCAAAAAGCTTTACCCTGAATACCATAAAGTCTATCATATGATGTGTACTCAGTTATATTCTGTAGACTCGAATTTATCTGACTATACCAGTTTTCCTGAGCACCATGTGCTTTCCTTTAAGTCGGACATGAAATGCATTCTTCAGAGTGTCTCTGGATTGAAGAAAATATTTAAGCTTTCTGCAGCAGTAGTACTGATAGGTTCTCATCCAAATCTATCTTTTCTGAAGGAGCAAGGTTGTTACCTAGGCCATAACTCAAGCCAGCCAATTACATGTAAGGGTAATCCTGTGGAAATAGATGCATATACCTATGAGTGTGTTAAAGAAGCCAACCTTTTTGCCTTGGGTCCTTTGGTCGGGGACAATTTTGTTAGATTTTTAAAGGGAGGGGCACTGGGTGTTACACGCTGTTTAGCTACAAGACAGAAGAAAAAGCAGCGTTTATTTGTTGAAAGAGGAGGAGGAGATGGCGTAGCTTAAAGCAAGCGTGCAAGTAATTTATATGGACAGTTTACCATTAAAGATTTTTAATATAGTGGTTTTGCAGTGTACTTGCTTGAATTTTCTGGACCTGAATTGCGTGGAGGAGAGCCACAAGCTCTAGTAATCATTTTTTAAAGTTACAAGAACTTGGTGTCCTATTTATACTGTAATGAATCAAAGGTGTCGATGTCAGACAGAAACACTGCCAAGTTGCCTGGTATACATTATGTTCTCACTTAACTAAAACATGCATTTCTTTAAGACTTACTTTTGATGATTTTTGGTTATTTCTTATGTTTGATTCTAAAATATTACAGCCTTGAATCTATAAAACCACACAGTCATTAGGCCAGAAACTGTCCTATTTGATATTGGGTCACTTGCTGGTTAAAGGGTGGTTGAAGGACCAGCAGCATCAGCTTCACCTGTAGCTTGTTAGAAATGCAGACTTTCAGGTCCCACAACAGAGTTACTGAATCAGAATCTGCATTTTAACAAGATCTCCAAGTGGTTTGTATGCATCTTAAAGTTTGAGACACACCGACCTAAAAGAAAATGGTAGATAAAGTATGTATGCTGGGGGTGGGATAGGGATTGGGGGCACTTAATACTCAGGTTTTATTTATTTTGAAATTATCAACTGTATACATCTAATTTATTACCAGATATGATGGTCTTTAAAAAAAAAGATTTTTATTGGTGAAACCTTGACAGAAGCTTCATATTATTAGCTTCTAATAATTTGAACAGTCCAATAATGTTGGGATATACTTGGATATCAAAGAACCAGCCAAGAAATTTTTTGGACATCTGTTCTCTTCTTAGCCACTATAACACTTAATTACTCCGATTTGCAATTCAATAAGTTGCTGATGGAACTACTTATCCCTGTGTGAATAATGAGTTAATTTCTATCACTGAACCTGGACATGGTAAATACTAATAATACCATAATGCTGTTATGATATTGCCAGAGTTACTGAAGGTTAAAATTGAAAATAAAGTTAAAATCTGTCTCTTTATTCCCAATGTCATTATTACTTTGAAATCGCTAACCTGGATGTTTTGCTCATTGGAGATGATAAAGCAAGTCATACTATGGTTGTTATTTACTGAATTTATCTGCTCTAATTATCTTTGATTTATTTAGACGTGCTTAATCTCTGTATTTTCACACAAATTCCCAGAATTTTTAGTGTTAAACAAGCAAAAAAAATCTGAAGTTCTCCCTGGCAAATTGAATTTCTCAGTCTTTTTCTTTGGTGAAATTTATTTTTTCTGGAATGTGTTCGTTGAACATCTAATTCTGTTTTTCTTAGAATTAAAAGAAGTGGACCAAATTGTCATTATTTTTCTATTTTATTGCAATGTTATGTGCTTGGTTTACTAGAGATCATAACTTAAATATAGTTGTTGAGAATATATTTGCTTCTGCCAACTAGCTGCTTCAGATGAATTCTTAGACTCTTGATAATTGTCATGCCTGATTAAGTTCAACTTGATGTTACTATGTAATTCAGTGTTAGTTTCCTATTATGATAACTGCTTTCAAACTAATTTCACACCTTGTTGAAATAATGGTATAACATCCTCTGACTGTACTTGATTCAGTATTCTTGTTTGCCTGTTTTTTTTAAGGTCTAAATGAGTTGGATTAGGTGTTTTTCTTAATGTCACTTCTAACTTGAAAATGATGACTATTATAAAGATGAACTCGGGGGGAGGATAGACCTGTTGTCATCCCCTTGTGTCTCGAAAGCCTGTTTTTACTCAGCTGATACCATTTTTGTGATGAGACTATGCACAAAAAATGACTTCAGGGAAAATGAAGCTTCAGTAGGCCCCTAGGTGAACCTGGTGAATAATTTCATCTTTGGAACCTTCCATGTCCCTCAGACTCAGCTGCGCTGTTGCATGTAACATTCAAGCCTTTTCTCTGCTATACTTTACCCCTGTACTTCAAAACTACCCTTCCTTAATTACTATCCCATAATAACAAATCTTCCCTTGTTCTTCAGTATCAATTAGCTATTTGGGGAGGGAGGAGAATGTGTCACTAAATGTTTGACTAGTTAGCCATACCATGATGTGGGCATCTCCCCTTCCCCCCACAACAACTTAATCTCTCAAAGCCTAGTAGGGTATCTGGCACAGTCCTTAGTAGTTATTAAAAGAATGTTTACAAAGCAGAATCAATTTGGGGTTTTTACAATGATGTAATAAAAATAAGATTTAGTCACCTCTATCAGTATTTTGGAGCCCTGGTGGTGCAGTGGTTAAGAGCTATGGCTGCTAACCGAAAGGTTCACAGTTCAAATTCACCAGCTTCTCCTTGGAAACCCTCTGGGCAGTTCAGCTGTGTCTTACAGGCTTGCTATGAGTCGGAATCCACAGCAACAGGTTTGGTTTTTTTGTATCAGTATTTTACACACAGTATCTGTGAATATGAATGTTTGTTTTTTGAAAACTTGAGAGGCTTTACCATGTAAATATGTTTTAAAAAGCATCACATTTTAACAGACTAAGAAAACTGAAAGTTGTTTTAAAATGTTACGTAGTTGCTGGAGGTGAAAAAAATCTTAATAAACCTTGCTGTTGAAAAGTTAAGTCCCAGCCTTTCTGCAACACTGTGGCATCCAGAATGAAACAATTTAGATTGAAAAAGTTTAACTTGGGTACAAAGACTTGCATAAAGCTATTTTGATCAAATTTGATCACAATCTTTAAAAAACTCAATTGGATACATTTCTAGGGGGAAAAAAAGAGCCAGGGCCCTTGAAACTAGCCTGAAAAGAGTATGTGGAATAAGGATAGAGCAGATATTTTGCTGCTCCTGAATTACTCCACCTTCCAGGATATATAAGAAAAATTCTGTCTTTGGGAAAGGAGCAAGACAAAAAGATTAATGATAAGCCACAAAAAGAACTAATAATAACCTTCAAATTAAAGATTAAAAGGATTGACTCGATTCAAATCATGATGAAGTAATGAGAATTGGACTTAAGCTTCACTGTAATCAGGTATAAAAGTAAGAAATACGTGTGAAAACACCATGGGGATGGTGTCTGACCTCTAACTTCGCAAGGGGGAAGGACAAAATCAGTAGCCCAAGGCTGATTCCTAAAAGGTGGAGGTCAGACATGCCTCCTCTTTCCACCATCTTTACAGATTTCTGGCACAAACCATCCCTCCCATGGTGCTGTCTACTCTGCTGGGTTTGATAATTCATCATAATCGCCACGCAGAACTCACAGACAATACGATTATGGGGTTTATTAGGGAAGTAACAGGTACAATTCAGGTTCAGGAACTCTACTCTGCCAGCAAGCTTCTTGCCCAAAGGCACTCAGCTTTCTTGCTGCATGGGCTGGGAAGCCCACCACGCTGTCTCCTGCTGTCATTTCTCTGTCACCGATTCTCAAGCTCATGCTCTTTCTCTGTATCCTGGTTCCTGGAGCTTCTCAGCGCAGGGATCCCGGGACCAAAGGATCAACTGTCTGCTCCTGGCTGTTCCTCCTTGGTGGTGGTGAGATTCCCTCTTTCCTGTCTCAGGGGTGGCTCATTTCAAGCCCCGCGGGTGGCAAAACTGATCAATCCCTTTGGCGGGCCACAATTACCCTATCAGCACAGTCCTGCCCAATCATCTGAGTGGGAGTTACGAGACCATGGCTAGCAAGGCCACACGAAAGCGACTCAGCACACTACAATATGTAAAGCAATATTTTCAGGCATTGGACAACAACCCAGATCTGATTTTTTTAATAGACTTTTTTTTAATTGTAAAAAGAGACAACACATTTGCCAATCCACCATTTGCATGTACAATTCAGTGAGACCAATTTTAATCATGTAGTGCAAACGTCACCAATATCTGTGGCCAAATTTTCCATCGCCATAAACTCCTAGGACTGAATTTCAAAAGAAATAGGAGATGAGCTCTACAATCTTGACTTCTGCCTGAAGGCATTTTACAAACTAACATAGGAAATGGAGCCCAAACAAAGAACAGTGGTATCTCTTGTTAGGTGCCATTGAGTCAGTCCAACTCACAGAGACCCTAAGTACAACAAAAATTCATCTGGCATGTGCCTTCCTCACAATCCTCTGAGGTCCTGTGCCATCCTCACAATCAGTGCTATGTTTGAGCCCATCGTTGCAGCCACTGTGTCAATCCATCTCATTGAGGGTCTTCCTCTTTTTCCTGACCCTCTACCAAGCATGATGTCCTTCTCCAGGGACTGATCCCTCCTGATAACATGTCCAGAATACATGAGAAATCTCACCATCCTTGCTTCTAAGGAGAATTCTGGTTGTACTTCTTCCAAGACAGATTTGTTCATTCTTCTGGCAGTCCATGGTAATATTCAATATTCTTTGCCAACACCATAATCCAGATGCATCAATTCTTCAGTCTTCCTTATCCACTGTCCAGTTTTTGCATGCATATGAGGCAACTGAAAACACCATGGCTTGGGTCAGGCGCACCTTATTCTCTAGGTGGGGAGAAACAGGTTTGCAGAGACAGCATGAATTTATTGGGCAGGGTATTGGAAAGGAGCAAGCTCCAGACATTTGCGAGTGGCTGGTGGGTTCAAACCTCTGACCTTTTGGTTAGCAGCCAAGCGCTTAACCCTTGCACCACCAGGACTCCCTTACTAAACTGAATAGAGGGAAAGAAGCCAGGAGGCTTACCAGAGATTGGCGATTGGGGGCTAGGAGCTGAATGAAATCCTGGCGGTTATACAGTTCTGGAAGACACTGGATTTCTGACCAGCCAGAGTAGCGAGACCTTGCTGAACACCCTATTTCTAAGAAGCTGCAAACAGAATAAATACAAAAGAAAACACATCATGCACATCACAATCAAATTGATGAAAAAGAGACAATCTTAAAAGCTGCCAGAGGAAGAAAGACATAATACGGAAGAATGATAAGAATGATCAACTGACCAGGAAAAAATGCAATTAAGAAGATAGTGGAACAATGCCTTTAAAATGCCGAAGTAAAAACCCATCAAATTCTATAGTGAAAATATCCTTCAAAAACAAAGGTGAAGTAAAGACATTTTTGGATAATTGAAAGCTGAGAAAATTTGTTACAAGACCTGCACTACAAAAATTGTTAAAGGAAGTTCCCAGTGAAAGTATGTGATACCAGATGAAACATACACGTATCTACATGAAGGCAGAAATAAAAATTATTTCTTTCTCTCCTTAAATTATCTAAAAGCCAATTAGCTGCTGAATGGAAAATAACTACAACAAAAATAAAAATAAAACAAAGATTAAAAAATTGTAGGATTAATAAGTAGCATCTGGGGTCTTAAAAGCCTGTGAGTGGCCACCTAAGATACTCCACTGGTCTCACCCCTTCGGGAGCAAGGGAGAATTAAGAAAACTAAAGACACAAGGGAAAGATTAGTCCAAAGGACTACCGGACCACAACTACCATGGCCTCCACCAGACTGAGTCCAGTACAACTAGATGGTACCCGACTACGACCACTGACTGCTCTGACAGGGATCGCAATACAGGGTCCTGGACAGAGATGGAGAAAAATGCAGAACAAAATTCTAACTCAACAACAACAACAAAAAAATTAGACTTACTGGCCTGACAGAGACTGGAGAAACCCTGAGTATGGCCCCCAGACACCCTTTTAGTTCAGTAATGAAGTCACTCCTGAGGTTCACCCTTCATCCAAAGATTAGACAGGCCCATAAAACAAAATTGAGAATAAAGGGGCACATCAGCCTGGGGCAAGGCAGGAGGGGACAGAAAAGCTGGTAATAGGGAACCCAAGGTGAGAAGGGAGAGTGTTGACATGTCATGAGATTGTTAACCAATGTTGTAAAACAATATGTGTACTGTTTAAGAGAAGATAGTTTGTTCTGTAAATCTTCATCTAAAGTACAATAAAAAAATTGTAGGATTTAGAACATGTAGAAGTAAAATATATGGCAATAACAGTAATAGCACAAAAACAAATAAATGGAAGTACACATTTATAAGGCATATACATGAAATGGTATATTATTTAAGGTAGACTGTGGTAAGGATGGAGCCCTGGTGGTGGAGTGGTTAAGAGCTTGATTGCTAACCAAAAGGTTGGCAGTTCAAATCCACCAGTTGCTCCTTGGAAACCCTATAGGGCAGTTCTACTCTGTCCTATAGGGTTGCTATGAGTAGGAAAAGACTCCATGGCAACGGGTTTGGTGGTAAGGATAGCAACTACCAAAAAAAAAAAAAAAGATAAAATAGAATACTAGAAAGTAATTGATTCATCCAAAAGAAGACAGAAAAGGAGGGAAAAAGGAATAAAGACCAGATAGAATAGAAAACAAGCAAGATGATAGACTTAAACCCAACCATATCAATAATTATATTACATGTACATGGACTAAGCACCACCAATTTAAAGGCAAAGATTATCAGACTGAATAAAAAAGCAAGCTTCAACAATATGCTGTTTACAAAAGACTCATGTAAATATATTGATAGGTTATAAGGAGAGAAAAAGATATATCATAAAACACTGATCATAAGAAAGATTTCAAGACAAGAAGTATTACTAGGGATACAGTTCATAATGATAAAAGGTTTAGTTAATTGAGAAGGCACCCCAATCCTAAACGTGTATGCACCTGCACTGTCTGTCTCCTCTTCACTCCATTGGTGAGGGAAGGAGTCCCATCCTAGGGTTCTGGGGAAGGCCAAATACATAACATCTGACACTGGATAGGTAAGATTGACAGTTTATTAGTCACATACTCACAGCCCAGAGGAGGACACTACACCATGCTGGACCACATCTGGTTGTTCTTAGGAGCAGAGTTAACTAGCAGGGACTGTGGGAGGCAGGCTTTGTAGTAACAAGAGAGTGGGGTGAATGCTGGTTCCCATGAAAGGATATGACTGGCTTGTTTGAATAACTTCATGAACTGACAGGTTGAGGACTAGGTGGAGTGCAGCTGGTCTGGCTGATAGGGAAACTAGCCAGGTGGGGAGCCTTTCCTGTTAGGTGCAGGTGTTTTATAATCATATATTGGATATTATTATAGATTCTCTGGATAGTGGGACACAACATAGAGATACTCTGGATAGTTGCAAAGCAGACTCATTCTTACAGCTCTAAATGAGAGAAGGCTACCAGGCAGGGCCACATGGGATTGCACCTGGGGAATGGTTAACAGCCAGCCAGAACTGTAGGAGGCAGCTTGTGTATGGCAGGTGGGGTGGGGTTCGCTAGGTTTTCCGGGCTTCCTGTGGATTGGGTAGTTTGAATAATTCCATGGTCCCAAAGAGGCCATCCTTGGGTGTTAGGCATCTGGAAGCCTCCATGTATTACAACCCAGAAGTGTTGGTGCCTGACAAGGAATTAGTTGGGGTGTGGGCTTAGCAACTTGCCTACAAAGGAAAATTGAGAGTTTAGCCATGATCTTAAAACTGTGACAAGATAGCACTTGTGAAATATTATATTACAGGGGGGCATATTTAGCAAAAGCAGGGCAACTTGGGCCTTTGGATCTGAGTTGTCAAGGCAGCACACAAAATTTTAGGTCTTACAAAACCAGTGATGAGAATCAGAATGAAGTGGACCTAACTGTAGGGAAAATGACCAAAATGGAGAACTGTGGCATTAAGCCCATGTCCTCCAAAAAGCAGATACCAAAATAGGACTAAAAATGCAATAAATTTATTAGTGGAATCACCTGTGAAAGAACAAGGGATTCAGCATTCAACACTGTGCTGGTTGTCCTAACCAATGTAATAAGACAAGAAAAAAGATTGGAAAGGAAGAAGTAAAACTTCTTTATTCACATATGACATGATGTGTATATAAAAATCTTAAGGAATGGTTTAGCAAGTTTGCAGGATCCAAATTTAATATACAAAAAGTAACTGTATTTCCATATACAAGCAATAAATTAGAAAATTTATATTTAAAAAGTACCATTTACATTATTATCAAAAAGCATTTAATACTCAGGGATAAATTTCTTAAAAAGATGTGCAAGGCTCTGCACTGAAACTACAAAATAATGCTGAGAGAATTAAAATCCAAGTTAGTAACTGAGCAGATGTATTATGCTCATGGATTGGAAGATTGAATATTTTTAAGATGTCAATTCTTCCCAAATTGATTTTTAAATCCAACATAATCCCAAATAAAATCCTAGCAGGTTTTTCAAAATAGAAATTGACAAGCTTGGAGAATTTATAGTACCTAATTTCAAGACTTAATATAAAGCTACAGTAATCAAGACAGGGTGGTACGAATATGATGGTGGTGTTGTTAGTTGCTGTCCAGTCAATTCTGATTCATGGCCACCCCATATGTGCAGAGTAGAACTGCTCCATAGGGTTTTCAAGGCTGTGACCTTTCAGAAGCTGATCTCCAGATGTGTCTTCCAAGGCTTCTCTTGGTGGGTTCAATTCGCCAATCTTTTGGCTAGTAGTCGAGCACTTAACCATTTGAGCCACCCAGGGACTCCATGGTATGAGTGTAAGGATAGACAAATAGATCAATGCAAAGGCCAGAGTCCAGAAATGGGCCCATCCAAATACTGTCAATTGATTTTTTACGAAGTTGCCAAGATAATTGAAAAAGGACAGTTCTTTCAACAAATGGTGCTAGAATGACTGAATAATCATATGGGGGCAGAAAAATGGACCCTGACTCATACTTCACACCATACTCAAAAATTAATTCAAGATGGATCATGAACATAAACATGATTTCTAGAAGAAAATATAGGAAAATATTTTTGCAATCTTGGAGTTGAATAAAATATCCTAGGATACAAAAAAAACATTAACCACAGAAGAAAAAAATGGATAAATTTGACTTTATACCACCAAAAAGTATAGGCCTTCCCCATTCTAGTGAGACTAATCTACCAGTCAGATAAAGTCTTCTATATTGTCTTCAGTTTCCAACACTAGAATAACACGTGGGTGACATTTTCACCACTGAAATTCATTTTAGCTCAGTGAAGCCTACACCATAATGGAAAAGAAACAAAATTAAAAGAAAAAAATCATGTTCTGATATGCCTTTGATCCTCAAATCTATTCAGTGAAAAGACCAAGGTGCACAGCATTGTATATGTTCTGCTATCATTCGTGTAGAAAATTATGGGGAAATGGTAGGTATAGGAACTTGGGATATACATTACAAAAATCTCTAGAAAGACTCACAAAAATGGGTATTACGGCTTTATTTTGGGAAAGGGAAACCAAGCAGCTGAGACACAGTGGTGGAAGGGAGACTCTACCCTTTTGTACTTAGGAGAACTTTGAACTGATTATTTTAATTATTTAATAAATAAAACAACTTAAAAAAAATTTACTTTGAGAGATGAGATGACAAAATCTGAAAACAGAACAAATAATATTCTTTCTCACACACAAAAATGGAATTTGGTGCATTTTAATTAACAAACTTAGGCCGTAAAATGTGTGTAATTTAAATCTTCTATACACTACATTCATGTACTCCAGGAAGCATGAAGTAATGCTTGCTAGGAAATGTGTTTCCATGGCTTCTTTAAAAATTCTGTTATCTTCTCCTTTTTACATTAGGATTATATCTGCAAAGAAAGAGATGGATTTAAATGACATCTAGATAAACGATGGCATGTCTTTTTCACTTTTAAAGTTAAAAGGCTTTCAAAATATAATCTCTTCTTTTGGAAAATAGGATGAGAATACCAATTTTGTCTTTAGGATCAGATACTAAGCACTGACATTTTTCCTTCCATTTATCCCTTGGATGAATATTTAGTAAAACAAAACATAACAAAAAAAAAACCTGTAAAGCATTAAAATAATTAATGAAAACAACAGCTTAAAACTCAGTATGTATTTATACTTTTAATTTTGGTTTCAAACACACACAGAAAATTGTACACCATTTGTGCAAAAGAATATAATGAACCTTAAATATAATTTCCTTTCTACAAAATTTTCTCCTAAAGTAATAAACCAAATGTAGCTAGGCAACCAGATATTCTCATTTGACCACATATGAAAAATTAATATTGTCTGTCAATATTTTCACCAGTAATTCATATTGTCAAGAATGAAATTAGAGAATCAATCAAACTGCCTGCAGAATAGACTAAAAAATATAGTACTTCTTGGTTCTACCTTTAAGCAAAGTTGGGAAAATGTTATCCTCCCCTAGCCATGATTTACCTGTAATTAATTATTTTATGAGTGTTCAGAGGTAAATTGTTATAAGGTTTATTAGGCATGCAGGGATGCTAAAAATGTGTTGAATCAGAAATTATAATCACCCATTATAACGCCTCTAAAACTATCCACAAAAACCTGCTTCGAAATTCTAATCTAGCCTTTTGTTTTTATGCATATACCAAGTAAAACTAAGCAAATCGTCTGGCATTTTACGTGCCTTAATTCAAAACCCATTCATTCATGATTCTGTTAATGCTGAAAATGTCACAAATTTACAAGCCAAGTTAACCCAACTCAGGAACCTTCTTTGGGTTGAATGCCCCCATACAAATTTTAAGTACCTTGTGATGCAGTAAAACTGAATCAACCCAAAACCTCAAGGCTATATCTGGTAAACCCAATTAAGAGGTACTAAAAGAGTAAAAAGAAACATGTTTAAAAAAAAAAAAAATTGTAAGGGGAGACGAAACAAATACTTAATCTCAATGAATAGAAATGAATTTTATATACATCTCTGAAAGGTACATGAGAAAGCTGAAATTAAACTTTACCTAAAGAGATCATCGGCAAGCGACTCTTCTTTTGCATGCTGATTTTGCACCTGTCAAAATAATTTAAACATCTGCTCAGTGACGAATGTATAGTTAATGAACTGCTATACTGGGAGGCCACAGTCATCTCCGAGGTTTCCATATCCAACAGGCCACCAAGTCCTATGAGTTCTTGCCCTCTACATCTCTCCTAGCCAACAGATTCTCTCCATTTTTACTTCACGTCAAGATCATTGCAAAAGTCCCTACTTAAACCACTTTCTCAGTCATCTCCTCTCCAAAGCCACCAACATATATATTGCTAGCTTGTTAGTTTTTAAACATTCTTCCTAGAAAAATCCTTTTACCAATGACATTTCAGTGCTTTGGGGTCAGACCATTGGTGAAGAGGGCAACATTGACCCCACCTTAACCACAGCCCTGGTGGCGCAGTGGTTAAGAGCTCAGCTGCTAACCAAAAGATTGGCAGTTCGAGTCCACCAGCCACTCCCTGGAAACCCTATGGGGCAGTTCTACTCTGTCCTATATCATCACTACAAGTCAGAATCGATTAGATGGCAATGGGTTTTGTTTTTTGTTTTTAACCAGAGCAGTTCACAGGTGACCTGGCTCCCTTCTTCTGATCCCAAATCGGGGCTAAGAAGCTGATGCTGAATTATCTCACCCACAAAGTAACTTTAAATACAGTATCACCAAACTCCTAAAGTACTTCGAAGAGGTAGGATCTGAAAAAACGCTGTGCTGCGTGTATGTTCCTAAACTCCAGCTATAAGCTGTGGTGTGGGGTACACACCCTGATACAGGATATTTAATTGAAATTCCAGGAGAAAGCCAGCCCCATTCTTCCATAAAAGCTGCACATAGCTCCAGGTGAGCCCTTCCTTTCCCCATTCGCTATTTTTAGGCAACAGAAACTAGATGGAACCTGCTGTACCTGACTGCTTGAGTGCGCTGCCATGCTGACGGTGAGGTCCCAGGGTAATTTTGTTCTTTAAGGGCAAGCTAAGAGGGTTAGGAGTAATTCTGACTGCAGGCAGTCCCTAGGTTACGAACATCCAACTCACGGATAGCTTGTACTTAAGAATCAATTGCCGTAAGGCCTATTACATTACAAATTTGAGTTAAATACAATGGTTCATAATGGCAAATGCATGCAGTATTTTGTGATGCTTATGGGAACAATGCAAGGTTTGGAAGTGTTTAAGTGTTTTACATGCACAGAAAGGTAAAATATATACTATACACTAAGACAAAGTTTGACTAACTGATGCTAAATAAGAATCGTACGTACCTGTTTTGATGTACCTACAAATTCGTCTTAAAGACAGACTTAGGAATAGATCTCATTCATAAGCTGGGGACTGCCTGTACATTAAATTTTTGCCTCCCAAATTGGCTTTAGAAGCTAATCCCTACATAAGATGGTACTTGATTCTTCACAGGGCAAAAAGAATCCCTCTTTAAACAGCTGCTAGATGGGAAAAAAAAAGTAACAGCAAAGTTACTCTATATACTAGAGAAGAAAGAGAGAGAGATGTTGGAACAGAACATGCAAAATAGATAAAGAACCCAGTCTGCAAGAAATAATAACCCAAAACAAAAAGTATAATTAGTAAGAACATGAAAGCAATAAAGTAAGAACAAATTAGATGATTAGAAAACCACAAAATATATACTTGGAAACAAGGCATCATAAAAGAACGAGCAGAAACAGATCCACAAAGATTTTAGGTATTGGTATTATTAAGCAAATATAAACTGTTTAATATGCTTAAAGACATAAAAGAGGAACTTAAGATATCAGCAGGAAAGACGAATTAAGAAAGAATGAACAGACTTCTAGAAATGAAAAAATAGAATAGGTTCAATTTAAACTCAGTGGATGGATGGAATATCAGACAATTGAAGAAAAGAGTAGTGAACTAGAACACAATTTGAAGAAATTACTAAGAAACAAACAGCTGAAATATATAGAAAAGACACATGGAAGAGAAAGTGAGATTTAACTTATGTCAAACTGAAGTTCCAGAGGAGATACCAGACAAAACAGGAAAAAGACATTATTTGAGAAAATAATGATGAGAAATGTTCAGAATTGTTGAAAGACAATTCCCAGATTTAGAAAGCCAAGACCACTTACATACTACAACCAAAAAGAAAAAAAAAAACCAAACTCAACTGCTGTCGAGTCAACTCCAACTCATAGCGACCCTAAAGGACAGAACAGAACAGAACTGCCCCATATGGTTTCCAAGGCTGTGAATCTTTACAGAAGCAGACTGCCACATCTTTCTCCTGTGGAGTGTCTTGTGGGTTTGAACAGCTCACTTTTCGATTACCAACCCAGTGCTTTAACCATTATGCCACGAGAACTCCTACCCTACCTTATATACTATATAACTGATATATTTGTAATAATCTCTCATCTTTTGTTATCCTTTACTTAAATTTTTGTATTTGGTCTTTACTCTTCCTTTACATTAAGATACCAACTTAACTGTTTAGCTCCCATTTTACATACATATTTTTATCATTAACAAAATAAATTTAGAGTTCCCTTAAAGAAGTGTTATGGAATGGTGCAAAGTAATCTTAATGCTCTGAAAGAATGATTGAATGATTTTGGCTCACTTATTCTAAGCTTGGTTTTAAGAATTTGCTCTAAGGAAACCACAAGGGAGCAAAATGCAATTCAAGCATACTTCTGGGCCTCAGTTCTTACTAACCTCCATTTCCTGCCTTAACCACTCTTCTAATTCTGTATTCTTTCGAGCATGATGAGCTATTAGATCTGATCCTCCAATGATGTGTGGAAGTTTTCCTGCTCCAGGAAATGTGACCTGTTAAATAACAAAAGTAATGAGGTTAAACACAAATTAAAATGATTATTTTTTAAAAAGCAAAGACTATAAATCAAGTATAACCTAACGGCCAGAGATGTTTACATCCTATAAATGAAAATGAATGAGAGGTAACTGTGTTGGGAGACCCATCTGTTTTTGCCCTAATCTTTTCTAGCTATTACTATACCCTGATTTAGACATGACACCGAGATTTATTTACTAGGAAAAATTTAAGATTTTTAATTTGGAGTTAGGGCCTCAGCTCATTATCTAGCAATTAAAGCAATTCAAGGTGAACACACACTCCATAATTTAAAGCACTCACTATTTTTTGTTCTAAAGATTTTAAAATTTAAGCCATTTATAGCATTCATGAAAATTTAAGTTTTTTGAAAACTTTTTAGTTTATAGATCCCTAGCAAGAGATGCTGAAGATGGCAACAGTTTATACTTTTAAAGGAATTTTTAAATGTTTATAAATAAATGGGTGCTATAAAAAGGAAAATATTATGTGAAAACACGTATCAAGCACACTGTTAATATTGTATTTAGGTAGTAAGTAATAAATTCTTAATATTTATGGGACATACTTTTAAAATTTCAGTATATGAAGTGGAAAGGGAATTTTAAATTAGTTTTCATCAATAAGCAGTATTTTAAAAGTACAAATAGAGCTATGTCATTGGTTTGGAGATTTAAAGACAAACTCAGTCAAATGCCTTCACTACAGAGACAATCCAGTTAAACATCTTTCTATAACAATTTTGGTTTGAATTTCTTTGATAGACTCAAAACAAATTCCTTAGTCAAAAGATATTAATATTTTTGAGGGTTTTAAAAGTTTTTCCAAAACACTTTCCAGATGTTTGTACTACTTTATACTTCTTGCTAGTATTAATACGCCACTCCTGTGCCAAGAGAATATTATCACTTTTCCTTTGGTAATTTAACCACTTAAAAAAAAAAAAGAGTGTGTCTTTTGAGTTTTGATTTCTTTAACAATGAGATTTCGTAGCCATGCAGTAAGAATGCCCCTGTGTGGCTCATGACCCACAGGTGTGGGTGGGAAACAGTAAATGTATAAAACAAAAAAGTATCAAGTGAGAGATATTTTCATCTTCCACTCCAAGTAGAAGAGATTCTTCCTGTCAAATGAAGTTCAGAATCCTTTAGATACTGCCAGAGTAGGCAGAAAACTAATTTAACCTTGAAAATGTTAATAGTAAATGCTCACTTTAGAGAAAGAAAGCTACAATACCTCATAATCACAGCAAGAATCAAACAAACTACATACAGAGAAAAGCAGTCTTTCACAGAAATCACTTTTGAAATAATAATTACTGTACTCTGGTCAAGGTATAAGCAAAGGATAGCAGTTAGTCGTAGGTCTGGGGCAAGAAGCAAGTATCTCAGAAGAGACTGCAAAAGGATAAACAAAAGAATACTGACCAGATCAGGACTGTTTAATCATACTAATAAAATAATTATCTTTTCCTTAGTGAAAACGAACTCAGGTATGATGGCAATACATACTGTATATATTTATAACTCATTGTATTTATATATGTATAGTAAAAAGTCTATAGTTTTCATTATTTAGTGTGTTTGGTTATCTTTAACAGATCTGCTACCTTTATAAAGTCCTGAATTAAAGAACCCCTTCAGGTAGTCATCAACCAATATGTGAACTGGTAGAACCATGTCCTTACCCAACTAGGAGCCTGGTAAACAGCATCCTTTAAAGAATTCAGTATTGATGAAGTTTCTTTCATTCTAGGTGTTTAACAGATTCACTATCAGGTTATATCTTTCCTAGAGTAATTTTTTTTAACTGTTTTAAGCAGAAGAATATCATCAGTGATCAACATAAACTGCTTTTATTACTATTCAGCACTAACAGTAGTTCTAAAACTTTTCAAACACTGCCCTCTTGTGCTGTAAAGAAATACCTACCTTTTTGAATTTCTTGAAATTCTTTAGTTGACCATAATCATTATTTACAATGGATGGATTTCTGGAGGTAGAGTTACTAACCACCAGTGATCTAAATTCAGTCAGTATCACCTTTTTTGGAAGCATCTCACCATCATCCTGAAGTTCATGATTGTTCTTAAATGGGGTAAAGACACAGAGACAAAAAAGAAAATTACAAGGAAAATTACTTGTGATTTAGAGATCTAGAGAAAAAGGTTCATCCACTTGAAAAACAGTAAAAAAAGGTTTATTTCAGGTCCCCGAACTTTTTTTTTGGGGAATCAAATCATACATATTTCAAAACCAGAAAATTACTTACTCAAATGCTCTATAACTTCGGAAATTTTATAACAAACTCATCTATAATAAAAGTCTAAATATGATACAGTATTTTTAGTTTAGTAGTCTATCCTAATATCATCTCAATAAACAATTTACTTCCTTGAATATATTTTTCTGACAAAAAATCTCAGCACTGTCTGTTTCTTTTCATTTAAAATGTACACCAAGATTATTATGCATGTTGTTTCTATAGGTCTTCATATTTAAGTTTTATTGGATTCTCAATAGTTTATATTTTCAGTATTTCTGACATTTCAAAAAATCAACCATTAATTTTGGACAAACAACCTCTTCAACTGACCAGCTACTTTTTAATTCTCGAAGATTTACTTGAATATATATGTTAAATCAGCCTGAAGATTCCTTCCTGTTATTATTCAATTGCTGGATGAGATTCTTTGCTTTATGTCATTTACTATTAACTATCTGATTAGTTACATATCAACATTTCTACAGCCACTTGAGGCTGACCATCTCAGTTCTTTTCACTGCTGAACTATATAATTCAAATGTAAGTAGCTAACAGGTCTAAGATAAAGGCAGTCAGGGAGACAAGAAAAAAAAAAAAAAGGTAAAAGTCAAAAGAAAAGGTTCATCTGATAGTGACAGTACGTAATCGGGACCTCTGATAAAATACAAGAGCCTAGTACTTTCGTATTGTGTGAGTTTATAAATATTTCCTACTCATTACTCTGTGACAGACACAACTCTGTTGGAAAAATATCAACCTCATTGTATAAACAGATGACTTGATGTTCATAAATGTGAAAATGATCTGTTCAAAGCCACAGATCTACAGAGTAGCAGATCAAGGAGCTATACCCAGGCTTCTCTCCACATTCTTTTTTACTATATCATGTTATATTATGATCTATTTCCAGAAAGAGGCATAATTGTGAAATAGACCAAAACTATAGGAAAAGAAATAGTTAATCCTAATGTAAACTGACAGAAATTGATGAGATCATGGTCAAATCTTTATAAAAATTAAATAATACATAAAAACTTCCTTACAGACAGTTCTTCTTTAGTTGACCATAGTGATTCTTCCTTGGTCTCACATTTCTTCCCAATTTCATTTTCTTGCTAAAGAAATAAAAAAAAAATTTGTTCTTTGGAGTATAAAATGATACCTTTCAGAAAACTTCACACATATTCATCATCTTTGACCCAGTGATTTGACTTTCAAATATCTTTCCTAAGGAAATTAACAGCAATGAGAATAAAAATATACATAGACAGAGACCTTACAGCATGAGTTGTAACAGCAAATTGGAAGCAATCTAAGTTCATGTAAGTAATATATTTGAAGAATATTTAATGAGAAAATGACCATAATATAATAAAAAATGGCTTCAAAATTGCATTAACAGTAGATTCCAAGTTTGCAAAATAAAATTTAAAAAAGAAAATACCAAAATACAGAGTGTCTGGGAAACTGAAAGTAAGGCCAAGACTAAGGCATAGCTATCACTTACATACGGATAAACTAGTAGAAGTATCCAGCCAATAGTTTTCCAACGGCTTTTAAATATTTCAGCATATAACAGGAAATCTTACGGACATAATTTAATCTATACTTAGATTCAAAAAAAGAAAAATGGTAGTTCTAACATCAACATGTTTTGGAGATTGCCTTTCTGAAATAAAGGAATCCAGCATTAAAGAGAAGTATCACATTTTTGCTTTCTAAAAATTACAAAAAAAATTTTAAATAAAAGGATAATTTTTTTTCTGATAATCTCTTCTGCAGTTAGAAAAATCAAGTGCAATTCCTTTAACTCATGGGTATTCACAAGGACTTCTAGACAACAAATTCTTAAAATGATAAAAATAAAGAATTAAAAATACATCGTCCAAATAAGGTTGATGGATTTTACCAATGTCAATTTCCTGGTTGTGATATGGTACTGTAGTTATGCAAGATATTACAATTGGGGGAAACTAAGTGAAGGGTATATGTAACCTCTGTATATTTTCTTACAACAGCATGTCAATCAACAATTATCTCAAAATAAAGACTTTAAAAAATATACCTCACTTTGAAAGCAAACATACTTTTGTAACTACTTTTCTTACTAAAAACAATATAACGCTGGAATACAATGATTTAAATTTTTTTATATCCAACAGTGTATCAAAATCAAATTCCCTCTCTAAAAGTCTAGTACAATATATTTATTTTGTACTGCAGTTTTTAGTTAGAATGAAATGAATGCTAAAAATAGTAAAATAAGAATAAAGGAACTTATGTTATGGAATCATAGAGTAAAGTAAAATAATTGTATTACCTTTACATCATTATATACCATGCAAATAAAGCTTGGATATTAAATGAAAGGTCTTTTTTGGTCCATGGGAAGACGGTTTAATGGCTCCCATGTCACTGGTACCTGGTGCTCAATTCTTGTCTCCCCTAGTCTGGGCTCGAACGCCCAATTCCTTGGGTGACATGAGCTCTGGGAGAATGTGCTATGAAAATTGGGATTTAGGAAGATTAATTAGCAGTCATACAGGATGGACCAAAGAGTTCCATGACTAACAAAACCACCACCATTTCCAGACAGAGCTGTGGCCACTGTGAGCACTGGAACACTCTGTGACAGAATTTAAGGAAAAAGAAAAGGCTATAAAGAAAAAGGATGAAGTATGTATTATGACAAGAAGACCAGAGAAAGAAAATAAGAACATATCAGACAAAACAAAATAAATACAGAAGGAAAGGGTACCACAAGGGAAATGGGCTTGCAAAGGTCTGCCCAAAATAATGTAATATAAATAGGGTCTAACTTTCTAAAGACTAAACACGTGTAATAGAAGTATCCTGAACAGTTTGGAGCTAAGGTGACAATGTAAACTCATAACGCAAGTAGATTAAACATACCTTTATGAAGGTATGTACATTTATTAAACTTAGCAAATCATCCCTTGGATTTCACCGAATACCACATTAAACTAATTTATCTACCCCTACCTTGGCCCTTCCCCACTCTCTCTTCCTCCCTGGAAAGTAGACTTGATGGCTGGAAGAGGGGCCATCTCATACAGCAAAGACTAGGAAATTGATTTTAAAAAAAAGAAAACCAGTTGCCATTGAGTTGATTCTGACTCATAGCAACCCTACGTGTGTCAGAACTATGCTCCATAGTGTTTTTAATGCCTGATTTTTTGGGAAGTAGATCACCAGGCATTTCTTCTGAGGCGCCTCTGGGCGGACATAAACCTCAAACTTCCAGCCTTTCGGTTATCAGCCGAGAAAGTTAAGTTAACCATTTGTACCACCCAGGGACTGCAGGAAATTGATAATATCATGAAACTGACAAGCCTCTTTTATAGCAGAAAAATAATCTTATCTTATTTAAGCCCCTGTTTTGAAAGAAGTCAAAAGGAATTCTTAACTAATACAATGAGAAAACTTTTTCTGAGTAGAAAGTTAGTACTGAATCCAGATCTCTGGGGCTTTGGCTTGCAAATCTGTATTTTTAGAAAGCTCACCAGGTGATTCTTATGCAACTGGTTTACAGCAGGCATTTAGAAATCAAGTATAAGAAACAACAAATGATAAGGATTCTCTACCTGTATGAAAAGTCAAATAAGCCTATATATGATTTGTTTTTTTAATAATGGTTAAAGACTTATGTGGGGGCAATGGTGGTTCAGTGGTAAAATTCATGCCTTCCATGCAGGAGACCTGGGTTCAAATCCTGCCTGGCACCTCAAGGGCAGGTACCACGAGTCTTGTCAGGTCTGTCAGTGGAGGCTCTGTGTTGCTATGATGCTGGCCAGGTTTCAGTGGAGCTTCCAGACTAAGATAGACTAGGAAGAAAAGCCTAGCAATCTACTTCTGAAAATCAGTTAATGAAACCCCATGGGTCACAATGGTCCCATCTCATTCTAAATGGGGTCACTATGAATCAGGGGCTGACCTGATGGTAGCTAACAACAACAGATTTATACAGTGCTTCAACTGGTGGCACAGTGGTTTAAGAGCTCAGCTGCTAGCCAAAAGATCAGCAGTTCGAATCCACCAGCTGCTCCTTGGAAACCCTATGGGGCAGTTCTACCTTGTCCTATAGGGTCGCTATCAGTCGGAATCGACTTGACAGCAATGGGTTTTGGTCATACACACCAGGTTTTTAACAAATGCTGATCGAAATGATTATATGTTCCAATCATTTAATCCTTAACCTTTCACTTAGTCCTGTCCTTATCCTGTAGCTGTTTATAGGAGGGGGTGCCCACTGCCAAGAACACAGAATGAGCTAACAAACCCAGGTGGGAGATCAGAACATGAAATTTTGATTTCATCAGGTCTGTGCTCTCACCTAATGAGCTAACCAGTCTACAGACAGTGGGTCACCTTACTGATACAGAAAACAGGAAATAATCTGAAGGATTTCTTAAACCAAAGTGGGTAAGACAAATTATTACCATTCATGAAAATAGAAAAAGACATTAAAGACCAAAATAAAAAAAAAAAATTTCTGCTGATGGTATACGTTTTATTCTGAAAATTCAGTTAGTAAACACTTTATTTCAGTAACTTCTTCAGCTTTCTCTGCCTGTTTACTCTGTTAAGGCCTCTCCTATACTTAACGTTCTGGCCAAATTTCTGATGTAATACTACAGTTTAATCTGGAAGTCTATGAAAACTATCACATAGAAGTTTTGTTTGTTTTCATTTATCTTATGCTATTGACGTATCAATGTATTTTACCATATTGACCAAGAAATTCTTATACTTAATGGCTTTTGAAGATATTAATTTTATTCAAGTATTCATAACAAATGCTCCTAATGTCAATACAAAATCTAAACTACTTCTTCACATTCTAAGTTTTTATCTGCATAAATTGTCATTAAAAATGTTACTTACAGATACTTCGTTACTTTTCGGTATTGCTTCATCATTAAAAATGCTATTTGATTCTATAATCAATCTTGGTTTTTTTCTAATATTGACATCTTCTTCTTTTTTAACTCTCATTTCAATTTCCAACTCTGGTTTTGTGTTCTTGAGTAACTGTTCTAATACTTCATCTTCTATGGCCAAATCATCAATGTCTTTTCTTCTTTTGGATATTAGCTTTTCTGTAGGAAGAGATTTATTGGTCAGATTTTTCACATTTGATTTTAAATTTGTATCTGCAAATAAATTATCTGATTTTTTGTCTACAGGTTCATTCTGAGATGGATGCTGTTCCTCATTTTTCCATGTTGGGAGTGTAGCCGGTTGTGTTTGTTCCAAAAGAGAACAAGACATTTCTATTCTTGCTGATTTCGATGAAGACATTTCTTGATTTTCTTCATCCCTTCCCCTTAGTTTTAAAAAAGGAGAGAAGAAAACAAAAACAGAAAATGAACCCAGCTAAGCAATTTTTTAGTTTGGTAATAGTTGCCCCCCTTTTCCGCCACCCCCCCCCCCATATAATTCACATTGTACTCTTGATTTTATTAATTAACAATCATTGCAGAACAACAAAGACACATTTTAAAAGAGTACACAATTCATATACATTCTACTCTTTTGATAGGACTGATGATCAGCCCTGTGGCTGAAATGATATGGAGATCCCTATTTTCTCTGCTGAAGCAGCATTATTTGACAAACCAATCTGGAGAAAAAGGCAGAAAATATAAAAATACAAAGGACCTGTTGCCAGGAGACAGCAACTACTTTATATGTAAGCAATCGGTGGGCAGGGAACACTTCCCCCGGGAACATAACCTGATGGGTTAATGAGCCCTGGATTCATGATAACAAATCAGAGCGCTAAATCCAGAATATGGTACACACTGTATATTGCAAATAATATGTAAATATATGACTAAGAGTTTTCTATACAATATTGTATCATTCATTCTATAAATACTGAATGCAAATTGTACTAAGTGCCACAGAAGACACAAAGACTTTGCTCTCCAGGAGTTTACTAGATTGATGGCGATATTTTAATAATAGTGATCTAATGTCAGGAGCCCTGGTGGCACAATGGTTAAGTACTTGGCTGCTAACCAAAAGGTAGGCGGTTTGAATCCATCCAGCGGTTTCATGGGAGAAAGACCTGCTGATCTGCTCCCGTAAAGATTACAGCCTAGAAAACCCTATAGGGCAGTTCTACTTTGTCACACAGGGCTGCTACGAGTCAAAATTGACTCCACAGCACCGAACAACAACAACAATCTAATGTCAGGATACAGGACAGACTGAAGACAGACCAATGAAGAGGTTTTGTAATAATCTGGGTGGTCAGAGTTTGAACCAGGAAGCTGGCAAAAGAAATAGGCAGAATTTTTATGACGTCATCAACACTATTAGTTTGGGGAAGCAGAGGAGAAAGGGTTAAAGATTATGATAAGGTGAATCACTAACAAACAAAACCCCAAAACATTCAGTAAGAGGGAAGAAGATGTTTTAGGCATATTATTTGGGAGGATAGCAGGAAATTACTGGGGAAATATGGAAGTGAAGCTTAAAAGAGAAGTTAGGGCCAAACATATCGATCATCCGTAATACAGTCATGAAATCCTCACGGTAGAGTATACAAAGTATAAAAAGCAGTAGGGGAAGGAAGAGAGGTCCTTAAAGGGGACATGGGGAGAGTCAGAGCAGCAGAGGAACCAGATAGGACTCTATCACCACAAAACCAAGAAAGGAGACTGCAAGGAAGAGAAAGGCTCAGGAGCTGAATGTTACCAAAAGGTCATGACAGCCAATAATTCTAATTTTAAGGATGTCATCTCAAGATGAAATACCCTGGTTAAGAAATAGTTCATACAGAAATGGAAACAATAACAATAATCTTCTTTTGTGAGAAGTTTAACAGTGACTGCAAAGAAAGAAAAAAGGCAGTAGCTAAAGGAAGAAACCAGATCAAGGAAAAGTTTTAAAAAATAAGAGTGAGATAGAGCATTTGAAAACAAAAGAAAAGGATCTATACGATACTAAAAATGATAGAAACCGAGAAAATAATTGATGGAACATGATCTTGGAGGAGGTGAGTGAGGCGATGAAGGAGAAGAGATAGAAAAGTCATCTTGGAACTCAGCTGTCGGAAAGCTCTTCTTCAGTAAGGGAAGAAATCAGTGGAAAAAAAGACCAGAAATGAAGCAACAGATAAGCTTAAGGTATAGAAAAGAAAATCTATCTAATGACTGTAGAAGAGGAGGAGAAGGGGGACATTTCTTAGAGGGAATGAGGTCAAAGGACCACAGCTTTCCACAGAAGCATACTTAACCAGAACACAGACTCAACACACTACCATTCTACAATAATATAAAATATTAATATTTTTAGACATAGGAGTAGAATTATTGAAAATATACCTTTTTTTGGTTGATGGCTGAAAGTAGTTTTTGATGGAGTTGGTCTGTTGCTGCTGAGAAGCCCGATCTCTACCTTTACTTACACCTGTGAATTTAGCTGGTGACAGCTGATAGTCTGGGACTTTCATCTTGACCAGAGTATGTGAGATTATATTATTACAGCTTGTTTTGGGAGGTTCCTTTACAGTGGATGTTTCTTGTGAAAGCATTCTGAATTTTTGCTCCATTCTGGAGCTTTTCATTTCTTTTGGCCTTTCACTGAAGCCCATACTGTAGCAAAAGAAAAGAATGCAAGGTAAACAATCAAGGTTACAGCAGCATTTATCTAGAAACAAAGTTCTCTAAATAGTTCTAATGTCATACAGCTTTAGAAGATAATTATCTTTAGACAATAATTCAGTAAATATATTTTACCATCGCAAAAACGTACGTCCTTGAAGAACGATAGCTTACTCTCATAACTTACAGCACAAACAGCCAGCCGTTTTCTACTATAAATAACTACCACACAATCCTGAATATCAACTTAGTATGCTATTATAAATTAACCTAGGTGATAATTCTAGGTAATTTTTGTTCTTTTGAAAAATTTTAAATTATTTCCATGCAGAAGTACTATAAAAAAATTTTTTTTTTTTTTTAAAAAAAGGAAAATCAGAAAAACAATAATCTACTACCGTATATAATGGGATATTTAGATCACTTTGGATTTCTTTTTATGGTTATATTGCATCCGGATGGTAGTCTCTATAACAGAATAAAACACTAGACTACCAGAAATATTTGAAACACACATATACACAGTTCTATAACCTATGGCTGAATAGATACTACCTTTGCTATTCTCATTTCACAAAAAAACAAGGAGTAAAGGTGTTGTTCAAGTGACTTTCAAAACAACAGTTTCTCTTTAAAAAGTTAAATCTGGTCTCAATATAAAACACAGGTGTAGTAAAAATTAAATATGGTCTAATACAATAGTATCAGAGGTATCCTTCAATATGAACACCTTATTATGGAATGTTTAAAATAAAACATGCAGTCATAAATGAGAACTACCATAGAATCCAAAAGAACTACTTTCTTCCTCCTCAAGAATGCCCTCTTCAAATAAAGAACCACTGAAAAAACTATCCTTATGAACCAATATTAACTACTTAGACAGCCAGGTACCCATATAAAGTATCTTCAAAATTATAAGTAACATTCAAATAAAGTTAACATCATATAATACAAAAAAACTTGTTCCAAATTTATTCTACCAGTCACAAAGTAGTATAATTCTTTATAGTTTTCCGTGTACCTTTGCGTGGAATGAAAAAAAAAAACTTTATCCTAAGACAGGAGTTGGCAAATTAGGCCTGCAGGCCAAATCGAGCCAATCACTTGTTTTTGTAAATAAAGAGTTATCAAAACACAGTCACTCTCTTCACTTACAAATCGTCTATGGCTGCTTTCATGCTACACTGCCAGAGCTGAGTAGTTGCGACAGAGATCAACAGCCTGGAAAGCTGAAAAAATTTACTCTCTGGCCCATTACAGAAGAAGTTTGCTGACCTCTGTCCTAAGATACTATTTTCCCTGACGTCCTACTCTCCTACGCTTTATCTCTCAAGAGATGTACTGATAAAAACGCTGACTTTACTTCTTGAATACGCTATTAGCTTATTGACATACTACTAACAATAGTTTGTTAACAAAGAAACTTTACCATGTGTCGGCTTGCTCTGATTCTGTGTTAGGTACATATACTGTGGTATTCACTGGGACACCTGACATTAGTTTTTCACTGAATGACAAGCCTTGGGAAAGGCTTGGTCCTGGAGTTGTTGGCCTCAATCCTGTAAATCACACAAGTGAAAAGAAAGAATCACAACTACTAGACAAAAGATGGACATTTGATCACTTAAAATGGTTAAGACTGTGGCATGCTGAGGGAATTAACAAGGTAATATAGCACACACTTGTCTTCAGTTTGTAGAGCCAACAAATATTTAACGAAATAGCCTATGAACTATGTGTTGGCATCTATGATGGGCTTATTTAAACCAAATCATTTTAAAGGCACCTCAAATCTTTTGTGATAAAAACATCAACTTAAATTAAAACAATCAACTTAAATTCTAATTCAAGTTATGCTTTCGGTCAGTAGACTAAACAATTACAATTTCTCCCCACACAAGTTATCTTTATACTAATATCTACACAGATCAGAATTAATGTGAGTTTTATTATTAGAAGGAATATGTTACTTGAAATGAAGACACTTAAAAGTTTTAGATGTAAATTTTTGGCTACTCCAGAAAACCAGAATGATTACCTCATCGTTTTACTTAGTCAAATAGCATCTTAGTTCAAGTGACAGTCTCCTAGATACTGGAACCTCTCTCTCACTTTGAATTAAGTACCCCTCATTTCCACTCCCAAAACCACTCTGTGCTTCACTCTATAACACACTCACCACCAAAGTCCCTGGTTAAGTTATTTAACCTCTCTATGCATTAGTTTCCTCATCTGTAAAATGGAGGTAATTACTGTACCTTACAGGGTTGCTTTGAGGACAAAATGAACTAATATATGGATGTGTGTGTGTTAGTTGCCGTTGAGTCAGCCCCTGATTCAATGTGACCTCATGTGTTACACAGTAGAACTGCTCTGTAGGGTTTTCTCAGCTGTAATCTTTACAGAAACAGTTCACCAGGCCTTTCTTCCATGGAGCTGCTGGGTGAATCTGAATCACCAATCTCTGGGTTAGCAGCCAATTGCAAACTGCTTTTACCACCCACAGCACTCAGAAAGGTACATGACAGGTACGCAGTACACACTATGCAAGTGTTAGCTGCTATCAACATCACTTTATGCTATACTTGTTTACTTGTTACTTTGCCTTATTAGACTGGATTCTGCGTGAGAAGAGGGACTAAGTCTTGTTCATTTCTATGTCTCCAGTGCCTAGAGCAATGTCTGGTATATAGTAGATACTTAAGTAAGCTAATGGAATTAAACAGTTAAGTGCAAAATTTTTAAAATTGACATTTACTTAGTATCGAAGATAAATTATCACTGTTAGGTCTTCACGACACACAATCAGCTTAATAAATGTTCATTATTGATTGACTATAACGTGGACTGTCAGCAGAATGAACAAATCTGTCTTGGAAGAAATACAGCCAGAGTGCTCCTTGGAAGTGAGGATGGCTAGCCTTTGTCTCACGTACTTTGGACATGTCATCAGGAGGGACCAGTCCCTGGAGAAGGACATTATGCTTAGTAAAGTCGATGGTCAGTGAAAAAGAGGAAGACCCTCAGTGAGATGGCTGACACAGTGGCTGCAACAGTGGGCTCAAGCATAGCAACGACTGTGAGGATGGCACAGGAGTGGGCAGTGTTTTGTTCTGTTGTACACAGGGTCACTATGAGTTGGAACTGACTTGACAGCACCTAATAACAACAAATGACTCCAAATTCAAGTATGTAAATTACTTCTACCACTTTTCTTGTATGACCTCCTTAAAAGTTTATTATTGTTCTTATTGTTAGGTTAGCCAAGTTGACACGTATTTTTGGGGGACACAATTCAATCCATAACAGGGTACAAATATGAATCTCTTCCAGTTGGTTGGCCAGGTAGCTGTCTTCCAAATTTCTTGTGAAGACAAGTGAGCACTTCCAGCGCTACATCCATTTGTTGAAATATCTCGATGGTATTCCATCAATTCCTGGAGCACTGTTTTTCGCCAATGCTTTCAAAGCATCTTGGACCTCTTTCTTCACTACCATTGGTTCCTGATCATATGCTACCTCTTGAAATAGCTGAACCTCAACCAATTCTTTTTGGTACAGTGATTCTGTATATTCTTTCCATCTTCTTTTGATGCTTCCTGTGTCGTTTAGTATTTTACCCATAGAATCCTTCACTATTGCAACTTGAGGCTTGAATTTTTTCTTCAGTTCTTTCAGTTTGAGAAATGTTGAGCATGCTCCTCCCTTCTGGTTTTCTATCTCGAGGTCTTTACAAATTTCATTGTAATACTTTGCTTTGTCTTCTCAAGCCTCCCTTTGAAATCTTCCGTTCAGCTCTTTAACTTCACCGTTTCTTCCTTTCGCTTTAGCTACTCGCTTCGGTCATTAGTGTTCAATGTGTCAAATCTATTCTTGAGATGGTCTCTAAATTCAGGTGGGATATACTCAAGGTCATACTTTGGCTCTCGTAGACTTGTTCTAATTTTCTTCAGTTTCAACATGAACTTGCATACGAGCAAGTGATGGTCTGTTCTACAGTCAGCCCCTGGCCTTGTTCTGACTGATGATATAGAGCTTTTCCATCGTCTCTTTCCACAGATGTAATCAGTTTGATTCCTGTGTATTCCATCTGGCAAGGTCCATGTGTACAGCTGCCATTTATATTGGTGAAAAAGGTATTTGCAATGAAGAAGTCGTTGGTCTTCCAAAGTTCTATCACGCGATCTCCAGCATCATTTCTATCACCAAGGCCATATTTCCCTATCACCAAGGCCATATTTCCCAACTACCAGTCCTTCCTCTTCGTTTCCAACTTTCGCATTCCAATCACCAGTAATTATCAATGCATCCTGGCTGCATGTTTGATCAATTTCAGACTGCAGAAGTTGGTAAAAATCTTCAATTTCTTCATCTTTGGCCTTAGTGGTTGGTATGTAAATTTGAGTAATAGTTGTATTAACTGGTCTTCCCTGTAGCTGTATGGATATTATCCTATCACGAACAGCATTGTACTTCAGGTAGATCCTGAAATGTTCTTTTTAACAATGAATGCAACGCCATTCCTCTTCAAGTTCTCATTCCCATCATAGTAGACCATATGGTTGTTCGATTCAAAATGGCCAATACCAGTCCATTTCAGCTCACTAATGCCTAGGGTATCGATGTTTATACATTCAATTTCATTTCTGACAATTTCCAATTTTCCTAGATTCATACTTCGTACATTCCACATTCTGATTATTAACGGATGTTTGTTTTTTTCTCATTTTGAGTTGTGCCACATCAGCAAATGAAGGTCTCGAAACTTTGACTTCATCCACGTCTTTAAGGTCCACTCTACTTTGAAGAGGCAGCTCTTCCCCTGTTGTCTTTTGAGTGCCTTCCAATCTAGGGGGCTCACCTTCTGGCACTATATCAAATAATGTTCTGCTGCTATTCATAAGGTTTTCACTGGCTAACTCGTCTTCTTTGTTTCCAACTTTCGCAGTCTAATCACCAGTAATTATCAATGTATCTTGACTGCATTTTTTTGGCATTTCCTTAAAGACACATATCCCTACAGTTCATTTCAGCTGACACAGAAATTTGCAAATAATAATAATAACAAATGCTCACATAATCACTAAAGGAAACATCTATGAATCTAATCTAATGACCCAGAATAACTGGCATTCCTTAACAATAAGATTATTTACAATGATCTCCTTAATAAAAATACACAATAAGTATTCGTTGAACAAACATGAATGAATGTGGAAGAAAAGTGTTTGGTACATAGTATGGAAGGGAGAGGGAAGGAGGGAGATATACATTCAAGTCTGGTGTGTTCTAAAATTGTCTCCAAGTCAGAGATCTGTAACTTGGAACCCATACAGACCTACCTATGAATATGTGTTTAAGAAGTATCACTACTAATTATAATGTCTATTTTTACTCATCCTTTATGACCTTGTTTCTATATGAAAAGATACAATAGAAAAATTACTGGCCTGAGAGTCAGAAAACCTGAAATTTAGAACTAGTTCAGCCATGAAGTAGTTATGGGACTTTAACTTCACTTAGCCTTGTTGTCTCTTATCTTTTACTAGATAGACAGATGATCTCTGAGGCCCTTTCAGCCATAATACCATTCCAACAGTGGATGACAATATTTTGTTGCTCCACACTGGGAAAGATAATCTTGTGCACCAGTAACTTTGTTCAATTAAACAAATATTTAAACCTAGTATGAACAAATGCTGTGTCTGGTGCCGTAAGGGGATCCAAATTAATAAGAACTTATGATCAGGTAGCTGAGAAAGGAATGGAAAGTGGTTATATTGCAAAATAAGAGAAAGAAAATCAATAACTGGGATGCAATTCTAGACTGTAGAAAACAATTCTGACTTGGAGGAGTTATGGGCAGTAAGAAAATGACTTAGAAAAACTTCATAAGAAAGGACAGAACGCTTGTGGAATAAGTCAGATTTTGATGAGCAAGACTGGCATTCTAGGAACAGGGACCATTTTGACTAAAGTCCAGGAGTGTGGGAACTATGAATAATATGGCATGTATATTCCGTAGGGAGGCTCGTAAAAGATGATGTAGATGGAATGAAGTAAGCTAAAGCTGTTGAGGATCTGGGAGTTAGGGACTTATTCTGTAAATAACGAAAGCCAGTAAAAATTTTTCAGAAAACAGGTGACTCTAGGGGCAAAGTGAAATATTAACTGTAAAGATGAGTTTAGAGGCAGAACCCTTACTGAGGGCAGTTCGAACAGCCTGCAGGAAAGACAGATGAGGGGGGTTTAAATGGGACAGTAGCTGCGAGAAGGACTGGTAGCAGACCTCTTGAGCAGACACTGCAGAGGGAGAATTTCAGGTCTTAGTGATTAAACGGATGTGAAAGGTAAGGAAAAGGAAGAATGAAACATGACCAGACGCCTCCTCCATTTATATAAAAGAAAATTCCTCTCTAGTTCAGTCCTTCCCAAGGTATTCTAACCCAGCAGTTCTTGGAGGAGTTTGTATGACAAATACGAGCTTAAAATCAAACAAAACAAAAAAATCCCAGATACGTACGCCACATCACTGAATATTCTGTATTATGGAGAATGTGAATTTGCATTAAAAAACATTTCTGAAGCATATACCTAGGTGACAACTAGTTTTCTAAATGGAGAAACGAAGGACGGTTGTCTCCAGAAGCGGTCTGGGACAGTGGGGAGCTACCGACTTAGATCTAACAATTCTGTTTGTTTTTACAGGTTTTTTGTTGTTGTTGTTAAACTCTGAAATTGCTGATAGGAATTTTTTTTTTTGTATACCAGAACAGAAATCCACTGTCAACAAAATAATAACTACAGAACATACTATGTATAAAGGTTATGCAAATTTCTAACGTGCAGGGGAAGAGTAGTTTCTCCAAGAATACCGCTCCCCTTTGGTGTCCATATTACACTAGTTGTCTCTAACACTGCAGAGCTGGTACTTAGCTTCTGACTCTAAGGATGAATTTTGGGAACATCAGTTATAGATTTCTGGAAAATATTCATCATATCATAATCTCACCAAAATAAGTTATCTGGCCACTTATAAAACTTCATAAACACTTAACATGTCTGTATTTGAAGGTCACTGATGCCTAGACACAAACATACCTACTGTACTCAGTGGGAAAGGGCAGAGATATCAGGTGAATACACATTCTTATCCAAATTATACAATACTAGCCTGTCAATTATTTTATCAGATGTCTTTCCTCCTATATCTGTTCCCAGTCATCCCCACACCATCAGTTCTCTACTTCACACATCAAAATATAAGCCATCTATACTGCAGTGTAATTGTGTCGTAATAGCTTGGGCTTAAGAGTTAGCTTGAATCAATTACTTGCTATGTGACCTTGGGCAAATTTATTAATCTCTCCGTATCTCAGTTCCCTGATCTATAAAATGCAGATGATGTCATCTATATTAAAGGACTGTTTTCCAGATTACATTTTGGTGATGTATGTAAAACACCTACCCCATTCCCCCCCACTCAAGAGACAGTAGCTATTATTATTATTATTAATCACTATTACTAATGATTTACACACTGTGATGGTTAAGATTGTGTGTCAGCTTGGCTGGGCCATGATTCTCAGTGTTTATATGTGATCACTCCCATGATTGAATATGCTGTGAGTAGCCAATCAGATAAAAGGGAGTTTCCTTGGGGGTGTGGCCTGCATCTGAACATAAGCAGATGTTCTGGCTTTTTGCTCACTCTGGATCCTGTGGCTGCCTCCTGTTGTCTCCCCTCTGGTTCTTGGGACTTGAGCCAAACTTATCTGCCAAACTTGGGATTCATCGATCTTCACAGCCTGTGAGCGGAGCCCTGTTCTCTGACCTGCTGATCTTGCGTTTGCCAGCCCCTGCAGCAACGTGAATCAGGAGAAACCTTGCGGTCTTGCCTCCCGATGCTGGAATTCATCGACCTTTATAGCCTGTGAGTGGGAGCCCGGCTCTCTGACCTGCCGATCTAGGGCTCACCAGCTTCTGTGGCTGCATGAATTGGGAGAGGCCTCTACCTTGATCTTGGCAGGACTTGGCATGTTCTAGCCTCTACAATCGTGTGAGCTGTTACCTTGATATAAATCTCTCTATATATCTATACACTTTACTGGTTTTGCTTCTCTAGAGAACCCAGCTGAAGACACACACTTAATCTCTGATGATTAGGCCCTGATGGTTCAGTCCTTCTAAAATCTAGTTTAACACATTCCTTACATATCTAAACCACCATTGCAGAGTATGGCCACTCAGGCAGTGCAGTGACCGACTCCATGGGTGCCTTTCAAAGGATGATAATGTGAGTGATATCCCTTGGGGTATACAACAAGGTGGTCCTGTTCTAACCTGTCTCTTTTAACAAAGTCCAGCAAGTGCTGACAAAATCACTAGAGAAAGAACCCAGGAGGCAAGTAAATGTATATAGGAATACAGAATGAATGCTTTTGATAGCTAGGCAAAGAAGAGAAAAGTTACTATAGAGAATAAATGTAAAAATCTCTAAGGTAAAAAAGCAGGAAGATGAGAATAAAAGAACCATCTTTATGATGGCAGCACCAGCTTATTTTCAAGACAGCGCTTGTTTTCAGAAAGCTACAGGAATGTTTTCTAAATGACAAAGAGGTAATAGTGACTGCATAAGTACACTGGCTTTCATGACAGTCAACTCTGAGATGATTATAATATGCATTCTTCATTTCAGTAAGTGGGCCCCATCTACCCAGTTACTCCATGACAAAAAACTAAGAGTTGTTTCCGATTCCTCTACAGCCAGGTTCCACTGGGTCTAGTTCCAAAATAAATCGTGAATCTGTTCCTTTTTCTGCACCTCCACCACTACCACCCTGGTCCAAGGCACTAGGCTCTCCCTCACTGGTATCCTTACTTCCATTTTGGACCCCGGCATGTGACTGCTAACCTCAAGGTTGGTGGTTTGAACCCACCCAGCCATATGTGGAAGAAAAGACCTGGTCATCTGCTTCCATAAAAATTACAGCCGAGAAAACCCTATGGAGTAGTTCTATTCTATAACACGTGGAGTTGCCTTGAGTCGGAATTGACTTGACAGCATCTAATAACAACGACCGGATCCATTTTACCCACAAAAGCCAGAGTGCTCTGCTCCTTCTATTGCCCAGATCCTCACATGGCTTCCTTATTCTAGCCATTCAGGACACATGAGGCGCAAATGCCATATCCTTAGCGAGACCTTCCCTGACCACCTCATCTAAAATAACCTGCTGCCAGTCACTACTGTTTTATCTTCCTCCTTGTACTGATCCCTATATGAAATCATCATGTGTGTTTGCTTGTTTGTCTGCATCCTGACCTTTAGGATATAAAGCCCACAACAGTAGAGAGTTTGTTTATTTGGTCAGCCGTATGTATCTCCAACACTTAGAACAGTTAGAACAGGGCCTCGTACATGGCAGCCACAAGTATTTATTGAATAAATAAATGAATAAATAAGCTGTAAAAGATGGTGTATATGGTTAACCCCGGCAAGAGTAATGTACATATAGCCTATAATCAATTTATATTACAAAGTTACTAAGAAATAATAAAATAATGTTTTAATTACCTGTACTGGGCTGGCCCCGTGGATCACAGTAATTCTCTGTTGTCATGAAAATAACTGCCAATCCAATTTCTGATTCAGGAATAGGTCTAAGACCCTGCCTATTAGAATAAGATAGCTTAAGTACAATGGTATATTAAAACTAACAACTTTTATTACTATGATGCTATCAAGCTGAATCAACCTTTCTTTCCCCCCCTAAAGAGCTATCACAATTTTCTGGTATGAAGAGAATTTCAAATACAGGTAGACAGGTGTTATTTTAAGTGACAGCCTTTCTGAAACTATAAAATTACCCTCCCCCACCTAAAAAAAAAAAATTATCATTGAGGCCAAAGACTACAGAACCAAACGTCAACTCAGGATCCGGGCATCAACCTCTGAGCAATCGTTCTTGGTTGTACTCTAGTTCTTTCCTACCTCAGGGCCTCTGTACATGTTAAAAGACAGTGCGATGCAATGGTGAAGAGCATAGAATCTGGAATTAGAGTGACAGGGTTCACATCCTGGCTTGTCTTCTCACTACCTGTGTTCGACTCAAACTCCTTTCAGTCTCAGTTCCCCTCTCTGTACAATGGGGGCCACAACAGTAAATAACACATAAGATTGTGTGAGAATTAGAAGTCTTAACAGCTTTTAGAACAGTATGTGTTACACGGTAAGTTTTATGTAAGTGAAGTTGTTGTTGTTCTGCCTGGCACATGCTTCTTCTGACTCTCTGAAAGACTGGTTTTTAGGTCATACATAAAATATTGCCTCAAAGAGGGTTTCTCTATTTAGAATAAGCTTCTCTTCTCTGCCCTATTATTCTGTTTCCTTTACACACTTTTGTAATTATCTGTTTACTTGTCTTCTAGCTGTCCCCTCCTCCAGTTAGTCAGTGAGCTCCAACATGGCAGGGACCATGGCTATCTTGTCTACCACCATATTCCCAGTGCCTAAAATACAATAAGGCCATAGCATAGTATGTATCTGTTGTAGTAGCAAGATGGTATTTTTGTTTACACAATGTTTTTTTGTGCAGCATGTAATAATCTCCTTTAAATAAAATATTCATGGAATAGATGACTGAAATTTTACTTTTTATTTCAGCAAACCCATAAGAGAAAAAGCAATCCCAATGGTCAGATGGACTCCTGGGACAGGAAAATGACTTTTCGGTGGAGACCTGGCTATGGCCTTTTCAGGCATATAAATACCCCTAGGCCCTAACAACTTTGTTGTGCGTAGAGAAATCTAGTCAACAGGCTGCTAATCCTGTTATTTATAATAGTTTTTGGTTTCAACAACGCTAAAAGCATTAGTACTAATAAAGAGTCTACAAAACAAGCCTTTGATTTAGCTCTTTCACAGTCTCTCCCCACTACAAACACCATTCTAAGAGATCTGACATTTTTCCCATAACACCCTCAACATGAGAGATAGAAATCATTAAGTGCATTTTTAATGGATAATAACTATCAAGGGTACAGATATATTTCAGCTCTAGATAATGTCAGCAAAATTTTTACATGAGTTTTAACTCTTGTAACAGCTATATATTCTACAGAGAAACTTAATAAAATACTACCTTACTAATGCAGAGAGGTAAATTCTACAAATTTTAATTTAAGTGTAAAGTAATAAAAAGAGGTAGAAAATAAATATTGAGGTAAAATTGTCACAGATATTCTATTTCAAGCATGCTGAGTCACAATCAATTTTCCAGTAACCTACAGGATAAAACCTTTATAATTCTTGTTTCTACTTTTTACCTTGGAAAGTGGAGTGCAACCAAAAAGTTATACATGAAATAACCGAACTGTATTTTTCTACTAATAAAGAATAATTCTGTACCTCTTGAGCAAATCCATAATTGAATTAATACAGTTTTTCTGAGAGTCAGGAATTAAAGTCTGTGAATTTGTTATTCCTACATCAACAACACAGGTTCCAGGGGCTAAATAGAAACCATCTTCTTCTTCATTTTCTTCTGTTACCAACTTAGTTTCCCCACCTCCAAAAGCAACTGCTGAACTTAATTTCTTATGCTAAAAATGAAAAGGAAAAAAAAAAGTAATTTAAATAGCCAAATTTAATTTCTTGAGTATACTCTTGTAAATTTACAAATATTGATTTTACAATTAAAATAGAAGTAGAATTGATGCAGAACTGGCTCTACTTCTTGAATGGGGCTCCACTCTAAGAAAATCATTAGCTCACTAGGTACCTCTGCAGCCCTCCAATAATTACATTTTCTCTTTTACCTCATCATACCTACCGCACAGTACTGTAACTATGGGCTTACTTACGTGTTTTTTCCACTACAACATAAACTCCTGGAATTCCCATTTAGCCACACAGATGATATTTAACAGATATTTACTAAATTAACAAGTTAGGGCTTAAACCAAAGTTTTCTGTCCACCTCCTCTAATAATTAATAGGCCAATTACCAAACATAAATCAGGGCCAACTCGATGGCAGCTAACAACAAGAAGTATCATAATCGTGTTCATGGTCACTGAGCAGGTTCTGAAGCCTGATCCATTTTTTTATTCCACTTCACACTGCTACACAAAGTTCCAAAATGAAATGCATTAACAACTACTGATAACAGATAGTAATAATTTATCCTTGTTTGTAATGTTTGTTATTGGGGAAATGTAGCTTATAACATTACCTGTTTGGCATTTAGAAATACAAATGTTTTCCCTTTGAAGATTTGTTTTCTTTCCTGTCGCCCTGATAGATCAATATTTTTATTTCCAATAGCTGGTTCATCAATAGGTGGGTAAAAACTGTAAAAATTAAAATATATTCCAATTATACACTACTCTCTATGTTTGCTATTAAATTTATAAATGGGGTGGCTACCTAGATATTGAAAAGCCTAATTTCCGTAATACTTTTACAGGGTTACAATGATAAAAAGCATCTAAATGCTTTATCTAGAAATATGGTTTAACAGGTACTACATAGAATAACGGGATTGTTCCTTATTTTCCAAAAATACATAATCCAAAGTACGCAATATTAACAAGATACATATTAAGCATATATGAATCAAGCAAGTTATGTGAATTACAGAAAGTTGAGAGAAACATCATTCATAAAGATCAAATTCTATTAGAATCTTATGTTTGTTTGGGGACCAATATGCATTAATAATGTTCACGTTCCAATTCTTAGAACTGATACTCTGCTTTGCTACAGATCTCTTTGGAGAAGGTTAGGAAATTTTAAAACTTACATTAGTATTTTCAGTTTAAATAAAATTTCCAAAGTGAGAGTAAAGATCACATTTTTTAGCTGAAGAATATAAGCTAAAAAAAAGAATAGACTATAATGCAATAAGAACATCTTAATCGTCCATGGAAATGGGAAAAAAGAATAGAGACGTCAAGAAATAAGTCAGTTTCACAGTTGAATTAAATATCTCCACAGAGCAACATCTAATGTTTGTAAAAATACTTCAGTCATCAGAGCCACCATCCAGTACTTCAGAACTAATTTGCTTATGTTTTCCTCCAGATTTTTCCTTGGCAACATACATATTTCATAAAGTAAAGCTGAGTCATGATTGAACAGTTCAAAATTTTTTAAATTTTAATTAAGAACACAAATGCCTGTGTTTTAACTCAATACAATGGATGCTCTAAGTCTATTCTAAAGTAGTGATTTCTGGAACCTGGAATCTCAAATGAGTAGGTGATCTGCAGGCAAGAGTGGACTTGCTTGGCAGGGCAGAATACAAGCCACTGCACTATTCTGATTTTCTAAGTAACTGATTTTAAAACCTTTTTTACTTTTAAAAATATACAACATGTACACCAATGTTCAGAAGCCCTGGTAGCACAGTGGTTAAAGTGCTTGGCTGCTAATTAAAAGGTTGGTGGTGAGAACCCACCAGCCGGTTCATAGGAGAAAGATGTGGCAATCTGCTTTGATAAAGATTATAGCCTTGGAAACCCTATGGGGCAGTTCTACTCTATCCTACAGGTTCGCTATGGGTCAGAATCTACTTGACGGCCAGCGGGTTTTGGGTTTGGATACCAATGTTCATTGCAGCACTATTCACAATAGCCAAAAGGTAGAAACAACCCAAGTGTCCATCAACAGATGAATGGATAAACAAAACGTGCTACATACATACCATGGAACATTATTTAGACATAAAGAGGAATGAAATTCTGATATATTCTAAAACACAGATGATTCTGGAAAACATTATGCTGAGTGAAATAAGTCAGACAAAGACAAATACTGCATAATCCCACTTATATGAAATATCTAGAATGCATAATATACCTTTCAATTTGTGGAGGCTGTTTATTGGACTGAACTGCTTGGAGAAATTCAGTAAAATATTCTGGCTTTACAATTGGACATCCACAAATGAGTGCACATATTGTCTAAAACAAAGAAAAATTGCTTTTTAGGGCATGGAACAATGTAGCTTAAGACATATAAATCGATTCTAAAATGTATTTCAATTTGAAAAACATTAAAATATTAAAAGTATATCTTAGAAATGAGTACCCCAGAGAAGACAATCTAAAGAAATAAACATGGGAGATAAAATCTTTTCAGCCTTACTGACTTTCACAAAGACTGTAACTATGGATTAAAACCTTTTCAAAAAAATAAATAAAGGATTACTGTTAGGGACTGGAATAAGTTCAAAATAAGTACACATAGTTATGGGAAGGGGAAAAAAAAAAAACTTTGACTAACACATGAATTAAGCTGTAAGTCTCAAACAAGATCCAGAAAATACAGGGAAGATTAGAAAATATCACCCTCAGCAATGAAAATCAAAATATAAAGAAGATTTGGCATACTTCTAGGATATAATGCAACTAAAGATACTTTGTGAGAATGCTTCTAATAAAACAGTATTGCATAAACAGGAGGAAGCAGGTTTAGGGTATGTCCCAAGAATCAAATCTGAAAAACACCAATCTCAAACATGAATAAAATAATTAACTTTTGGGTGCAGTAATGTACATTGGACTGAGTAAGCTCCAACACTTGTGATTCTGGGCAAATTATTTAACTGTACCATGCCTCAGATTCTTTTTCAGAAAATAACAATTGAACTAAATGCTCTAAGAGTTCCCTTTTGGTTATAACATTAAATGATTTTAAACGAACATAAGTAAACCTGTACATCTAGAAAATCTACCAAAAAAAAAAAAAATATATGTATATATATATATATACACACACAGGGTTTTCTTCTCTTTGGCACATGATTAAGCATAAATACTGAAAGAAGAGGATCACTCAGCAAATCTTTGTTGGTGCTTATCCAATGGTGCTTATCCAATGGGAGAGCCACTACTGGAAATCAGCATCCCAGACACTGGAACAGTGTGCACTCTCGTGAATAGACGCTATTTTTCGCGTTTTGTCACAGCCTTGGTAAAACACCTCTCCAGACCATCTAACTGCCCTTGTTCTTATTTCACGCCCACCAAGCAGGGGCAATATTCCCTATTCCGTTTGTCAGATACCTTGATACCCCTAAAGGGGCCCATGCTGGATCCCACATGTAAATATTCTGGTCCCTGTAAAGGTATATATCACTACTGTAAACTAATAAATGGACATTTTGATTTATTCATTTATTATCTGTGGGCTTATTAGCATAATTAGTACTCCTGAAGCTAATAAGGGAGCCCTGGTGGCACAGTGGTTAAGCATTCAGCTGCTAACCAAAAAGGTGGCAGTTCGAATTCACCAGCTACTCCCTGGAACCCGATGAGGCAGCTCTACTCTCTTCTATAGGGTCACTATGAGTCAGAATCGACTTGACGGCAATGAGTTTGGTTTTTGGTTTTGAAGCTAAGAAAGCTGCTGAGTTTATAAAATAAATTTCATAAAATTGCAAAGATGAGGGATGCCTGATCAGAGATAACTCCACCAAGGTACAAATTTAACTTGAGGTTTAACCTGAGCAGTAAGCCTTTCTCGATGATACCTCTTTAGCTATAATACACTCATTCTAATTTAAATTACTAAATTCAATTTATAAGGATTTTTGTATGACCTAATAAAGCAATCTAAACATTTGTTGCTTTTCACTATATAGGTATCAACCTAAAATAATCTCACATACCCATGATCTACCTGTTTAAAAGGAGACAAATCATCTCCCAATGCTTTTCTTTAATTAGCTTTTGTTATAACCAAATCTGATGAAGATGCAAAATTTGAAAATATACCAAAATATATCATTGCTTTAATGAATAGTCAGCATCCTCTAAAAGTGAAATCTACACATATCTATAGGTTGTGAAGACATATTAAGGTAATATTAAACTGCAAGAACTTAAAAATCTTTGTGATTAGAGACTTAAATGAATACTAAATAAGAGTGCACGAGATCATGAGAGGTATCACAGACTGGAGGAAGACAACTGGACCGATGAGAGATGAGATGCTAACTTTGAAGACTGGCAGTTGATCTCTAGTAGTTTTGCTTTTAAACTGAAAACACAAACTGTGTGCAATGTAATAACCTTCCTGGTGAAAGGATGACAAATAATTTCTTTTAATGCCAAATCAAAATTAAAATCTAATTTTACGTGCTTTTACTTGTCTCAGATAATAAAAAAGTTATCAGAAAAGCCATCTTGGCCTACATAGTATTTAAAGGCATGGGGTGGGAATTTGTAAGTCCACAATGAACAGTTCTGATAGTTTTTAAAGTACATGACTTAAAGGTCTGTATATAGTGGGTAACTGAGTGATCTTAAACTCACAGAACTTACTTTAACATAATAAGGCATTCAACCTACTTTAATTGTAACTTTAACTGATGTCATGACGAGGTGAGTACATTCTTCTGTCCAACTGTTTACAGAAAGTCCTCCAAGTTGAAAAATAGCTTGATTTAAAGCAGCTTTCCCCGAGACATCTAAACAAGAAGAGCATGCAACCAAAGGCTCATACTCTACTCTGTGAATGAGAATAAGTTACATCAAGTTATATTACCAGTTAGAGACAGCAACTCACAGTACTTTAAAACTTCAAGCTAACCATCTTGTGCAACTATTTTTATGTACCATTAAACTTTCTAATGTATGAAATTATCACTTCCTAAGTCTGGAGTCTCAATTAAGAAAAAACAGTGATCAAAGTTAACATTTTAATTTCACCCAGGCAGAATCAAACACATGTAGCTACAGTCAAGGCTCTCAGGGCCCCTCAAATCCTCATTCACCATCATAACCATCTATGGTTAACACTCTAGAGTGTAAACACCTGTGGCACAAAGTTCACTACTGGGTTATGTAGGAAATAAATGACACTGTCTTCAGCTCATCATTCATGAATAGCCTTTTACCTTAGAAAATGATCAGTGTCAAATAAACTTGTCTATTTCAATATCAATTTAAAAAAAATCTTACCTGAATTTACTTTCAAACACTCCAAAGGTAACTCTATCCCCTGTCTTTAAAGTTTGGGAAACACAATTCTGTACTTTTTCCTCATTAACGAAGGTACCATACTTAGAAGTATCTCTTACTGTCAATATAGGGATTTCATCTGTCTGACTCTGAAAATCAACAAGTAAGTTAATGTTTTTTTACCATTCAGTAAATACAATTCCTGGGGGTAAAGTTTCAAAAGAAAAGGTTGACAACTTTTTGAATAGGCAATAGATAGGTGGCTAACCTCCTAGCACAGTAGACAATATAGTTATTGTTTTGGTTCCCTGGTAAGAATGATCACTGCACTAGCAATTTATATCTCCTCTTAGGGAAATTTCTCTAAAAAATAAACTAACCAACAAACCAGGTGAGCCCACTTGTGTCAGAGTAGAACTGTATTACACAGGGTTTCAATGGCTGATGTTTCAGAAGCAGACTGCCAGGTCTTTCTTCCGAGGCAACTCTGTGCAGACTTGAGCAACCAAGAGTGTTAACTACTTGTACTACCCAGGGATTTCACCAATTTTAATAGGTGTCCCTAAGTACCCCTCTTAGAGCATACATTATTTTCTTTTTTGTAACTCAGTAGAAATTTTTCCTGATGCCTCAATTTCGGCACATTTGAGAATTCTGTGTTTCTGTATGTTCTGTTTCGTGTACAGCATGATAGCATCGTTCCTAATTTTTTTTTTTTTTTACACTATCAAAGTCACATTGTAAAAACTGGTTGAATGAGAAAAAGGGGATTAAAGGCTAGTTTCTGACAAGTATAGCAACAATTTTACTTTTTCTGTAGGAATTTCAACAATAATGTTTTTCTACACCCAAATAAGGAGCGCTGGTGGTGCAAGTAGTTAAGTGCTCAACTGCTAACTGAAAGGTCGGCAGTTCAAACCCACCAGCCTCCTCTTGGGAGAAAGATATGGCAGTCTCCTTCCATAAAGATTTACAGCCTTAGAAATCTCATGGGGTAGTTCTACTCTGTCCTATTGGGTCACTATGTGTTGGCATCGACTCAATGACAATGACTTTGGTTTTTGGTCTGATACCTAAAATACAGACACAAAACCTAAATATCACCAAACAAATCCAGCATTTGCTTATATGCAATCTCTGCTCAAAATCATAGTTTTTCTTTCTTATTACCACTGGCATTATCATCAGCAATTTGTATATTTTATCACTTTTATCCCCCACAGTTGGGATTTAAAAAAAACAAAAACTATAAGAAAAGCAAAAAAAGCCACTCAAAGGAGCTGTGTAACATAAGCAATAGTTGTTCTTCCTTGTAAAACAAATCAATTCTCATCATGAAAACTTATGTTATATAAGAAATGCCAGTGTTCACAGGGCTACATTCTCTGTAGTATCACCAGGCACAGTCACTGACAGACAGTAAGCACTCAATAAATACTTAATAAATATGAGTATGTTCAACTGCCTCTGAGTTTTTAAGTCACTAAAACAAACAGGCTTTTAAAACATAGGTAAAATTCTGAAACACAAACGTTAAACCTCAAAATAAACAAATACCACTAGTAATACCACCAAAGTATTTAACATTAAAAAAAAACTAACAGCTTTATGAAATGAAAAGTCCTTCGTAATCTCTCTTACATATGTGCCAAGGCAATTATCTGTGATTTCAACCACCTTTCTGCAAACTAGTAAAATAAAATTAGTAACATACCAAGTTGGTTACAGAAAAGTTAGCCGTTAACACAGCATGATTTCGACTGATGGACTGATCATTGTCGATTAGAATTCCACAGTTTTTCCTTCCAACAACGTATTCAACACCAGTCAAAAGTCTGTATGGTTCTCCTAAAAAAAATTTAAAAAAGAGAAAAAAGTAATGATACATACACACACTTGCATATACATATACACAAACATACATGTATGTATATATATAATAGTTATGACAAAATTTAAACATTTTTATTTTGTTATTTATTAATCATACGACATCAAACTTGTGTTTTCTATTAAAGTCTCACCGAAGGGTACAAAAGATTATCTAAATAGATGGAAACCTATTCCATGCTTCTGAAAGAAAAAACAATATTGAAAGGAATCAATTTTCCCCCAAAATTAACTTACAGATTTGATGTATCATCAAACAAAATCACAATACCATGTTTGGAGCCTGATGTTAGTTGCTGAAGAGTCAATTCTCACTCATGGCGACCCCATGTGTGCAGAGTAGAACTACTCTATAGGGTTCTCAAGGCTGTGACCTTTTGGAAGCAGGTTGCCAGGCCTATCTTCTGAGGTGCCTCTGGGTGGGTTCGAACTACCAACCTATTGGCTAGCAGTCGAGTGCTTAACCGTTTCCACCACCCAGTAACTTGATAAACTGATTCAAAACTTCATTTGGAAAATACAATGTAAAAAAATAATCAAGGAAAAAATTGAATAATATTATAGGAATTTGCCCTACCAGGTGGCAAAATATGCCATAAAGCTATAAAAATTAGAAAGCACGGTTTTGATCAAGAGTAAACAACATAGACTAATGCAATAAAATCCAGACCATATTCATGTGTATTACACGAGCATTTTAGTTAAAGGTAGAATTTCAAACAGTGTTGGAAAAGGTTATTGGCTTTTTTTTAGAAAAATGCTGGGAATCACAAATTGTTGGCATGACAGCATACACCCTGGAGACTTAAAGAGTTTAGTCTGGGAGAAAAACATCCATTAGAGAGTGGTGTTGTTGTCAGGTGCTGTCAAGTTGGTTCCGACCCTTTGCACCACAGAATGAAACACTGCCCAGTCCTGTGCCACGCTCATGATCGCTTTTATGCTTGAACCCATTGTTGCAGCCACTGCGTCAATCCATCTCGTTGAGGGTCTTCCTCTTTTTCGCTGACCCTGTACTTTACCAAGCATGATGTCCTTCCCCAGGGACTGATCCATCCTGACAACATGTCCGAAGTATGTAAAACATAGTATTGCCATCCTTCCTTCTAAGGAGCATTCTGGCTGTTCTTCTTCCAAGACAGATTTGTTTGTTCTTCTGGCAGTCCATGGTATATTCGGTATTCTTTGCCAACACCATAATTCAAAGGCATCAATTCTTCTTCTGTCTTCCTTACTCATTGTACAGCTTTCTCATGCATATGAGGCGACTGAAAATACCATGGCTTGGGTCAGGCACACCTTAGTCTTCAAGATGACATCTTTGCTTTCCAACACTTTAAAAAGGTCTTTTGCAGCAGATTTGCCCAATGCAATGCGTCTTTTGATTGCCTGACTGCTGCTTCCATGGGTGTTGATTGCAGATCCAAGTAAAATGAAATCCTTGCCAACTTCCATCTTTTCTCCATTTATCATAAAGTTGCTTACTGGTCCCGTTGTGAGGATTTTTGTTTTATGTTGAGGTATAATCCATACTGAAGACTGTGGTCTTTGATCTTCACCAGTGTTTCAAGTCCTCTTCACTTTCAGCAAGCAAGGTTGTGTCATCTGCATGTAGCAGGTTGTTAATGAGTCTTCCTCCAATCCTGATGCCCCATTTTTTTCGTATAGTCCAGCTTCTCGATTATTTGCTCAGCAAACAGATTGAATAGGTACGGTGAAAGGATGCAACCCCTGACACACACCTTTCCTGACTTCAAACCACCCCAGTATCCCCTAGTTTTGTAAGAACAACTGCCTCTTGATCTGTGTACAGGTTCCTCATGAGATAATTAAGTGTTCTGGAATTCCCATTCTTTGCAATGTTATGCATAATTTGTTATGATCCACACAAGCAAATGCCTTTGCATAGTCAATAAAACACAGATAAACATCTTTCTGGTATTCTTTGCTTTCAGCTATGATACATCTGACATTAGCAATGATATCTCTGGTTCCATGTCCTCTTCTGAATCCGGCCTGAATTTCTGGCAGTTCCCTGTCGACATACTGCTGCAGCCAGTTTTGAATGATATTTAGCAAAATTTTACTGGCATGTGATATTAATGATAATGTTTAATGATTTCCACATTTGGTTGGATCACCTTTCTTGGGAATAGGCATAAATATGGATCTCTTCCAGTCAGTTAGCCAGGTAGCTGTCTTCCAAATTTCTTAGCATAGACGAGTGAGCACCTCCAGCCCTGCATCCATTTCTTGAAACATCTCAATTGGTATTCCATCAATTCCTAGAGCCTTGTTTTTCACCAATGCCTTCAGTGCAGCTTGGACTTCTTCTTACAGTACCTTCGGTTCCTGATCATATGCTACCCCCTGAAATGATTGAATGTAGACCAATTCTTTTTGGTATAATGACTCTGTATATTCCTTCCATCTTCTTTTGATGCTTCCTGCATCGTTTAATATTTTCCCCATAGAATCCTTCACTATTGGAACTCAAGGCCTGAATTTTTTCTTCACTTCTTTCAGCTTGAGGAATGCCGAGCGTGTTCTTCCCTTTTGGTTTTCTATCTCCAGCTCGTTGCACATGCCATTTTAATACTTTACTTTGTCTTCTCGAGCCACCTTTTGAAATCTTCTGTTCAGTTCTTTCACTTCATCATTTTTTGTTTGCTTTAGCTACTCAACGTTCAACAGCAAGTTTCAGAGTCTCTTCTGACATCCGTTTTCGTCTCTTCTTTCCTTTTTTTTTTTTTTTT